ATCAAATAATTTCTTGTTTTTGATGTAGCAACGGATCAGGTTCGGAATATATTATACATACCTCAAAATTCGTTTCGCTAGAAAATCTTAAACTCCGAAATTCACCTCGCCCCGCTTTGGCCCCTACTCCAAAACTTGCCGGCCTTAAATCCATCGGTTCAAAACCAATCGGAAAAAAACTTTTGTTTGGAGGTTTGGATTTTGAGTTGAGATTTGAATAGTAAAAATTTTGGATTTGAATAGTTGTATGATGTGATATAAATAGATGTTGATGTGATGTTTTGAATGTAAAATTGATTTTTAGTATAATATAAAAAAATGAAAAATAGTTGTTTGATTTGATGTTTTTTGATTGAAAAAAATAGGATGAATAATGGATTTAAAACACACTTCTTTTTTATCTGTTATTTAACATAATATAATAAAATATCAAATATTTAAGAATTTTAATCACAATAACCATAATATATCTTCAATCACAGCCACACTACTGTACCACAAAAAAATTGAGTTGAAAATAAATACGTCGAAAATTATGAAAAAAATAAGAATTAAAAAAATAAAAACAAAGGTATAAAATTACTAATTTAACAGAGTTCGAGGCGGAACTAAAATTGGAAAGGGTTTTTTAGCAAACCCGTACCACCCCCCCCCCCCCCCATTACACCGGAGCCGGGGTGAGACCGCCCAACTGCAATCTCCAATAATAATATTAAAATAAATAAATAAATAAATAAATAATAATAATAATAATAATAATAATTAAAAAATATTGATATTATAATAAAAAAAATTTTCCATAAAATTAATTAAAAAATATTGATATTATATTGTAATAGATATAATGTTAAAATATAGACTCTTTTTGCCTTGTAAGTGTATTTATATTTAAATATAAAAATCAGTAGCATTTATATAATAACAAATGAAAAAATAAAATAATTTTATGATAATATAATTGTTTATAATAATGAAACTAAGAACAAAATAGTAAAATAAAATTATTGAATTGTAGGGAATACATATGTCACCCCAAAATATTATTTGGGATAAAATAATATTTAATTTCGGATAAAGAAGATTTTAGGCAAATTTATATTTGGTAGGTAATAAGTATAAATAGAGGTAAAGACCCCTCCCTATACACCTCCATTCTTTCTACACTTATTTTTTTTCTCTTCAATTTATTTATTTATTTATTTATTTTTTCTGTTTTTATATTTTTATTTTCTTTTAACTTTCTTTGATTTATTGTCACATTCTTTACTTTCTTCTTCTTATATCGTTGTCTATTTTCTATTTATTATTTTTGGGAACGCGGTTCCAGATTCTTTTGAAAAAAGTCGAAGAACTCACCCGAATTTTGACATGCTCGCCACGATAAGCCGTAAAAAAATATTTTGAATGACAACAACATGATTCTATGGCGATGATTGTTAACTCAATTTTGTTTGAATTAATTAATTTAAATTCCATAATTAATAATGCATCGTGTTAATGATACTATTTAAATAAAGAAAAAGAAATGGTTGTAATCAGGTTAGCATCAGCTTTTAGTAGATATATATATATATATATATAATAAAATGATTCCCTTTTAAGATTTAAGACAAAAAAAAAAAAAAAAAAAAAAAAAAAGAAAGAAAAAATTCTATTAGCCACGTTCAAGAAAAATGTATTTTTCTTTTGGTCTTTTGTTCTTTATTGAGATAATTTAGATTTAAATTTAATTTTGAAATTTAATAGTTTTATATTATGATTTGATTTTATCCATCAATAATAATGCAATTTTCTATAGTCTATTTTTTTTATTTGACTAAGCACACACTGACTCACAATTTTTTTGGTACATCCAACCTGTAATATACCCGGATGTTTCTTGATTTTGAGATTAATATGTAATTTCTATTGTCAAACATCCCTTGTTATAACAAATTATTCAAAATTTTGCAAATTTTGTGGACTAATTACTAAAATGATCAATATTTTGATAATACGTTGTTTGTAGTAAATATTGGAAATTCTATGTATTTATTCTTTGTGTTTGTGACTCTTTGTTCTTTCTGTCAAACCATAAAAAAAATAAAAAATAAAAAATAAAAAAAATAAATAAATAAATAAATTATTTGAACTATAGTTCAACCAGTAGCAAATTTTGGCTATTGATTTTTCTTAATTTTGATTCATATTAGAATTTGTAGTCTTCATTGGTTAAATGATCATAATTTTCGCATATTTATACTAATTATTGTAGGACTCGATCGCGTACCCAATTTTTAATTATAATATTTTTTTTTTCTTTGATATGGACTATTGTTAATTTTTTATCTCCAAGGATTTACACATTAAAAATTGTCATTTTTTTATATATAATTTATTTACACATACTATTAATTAATGTTCCTATCATATACAAATTGAGGAATGCGTTACACGAGCAATTATTCTACTTTGATTGATTTTAAGAGGAATATTTTGCCTAAATTTATGTTTGCAAAATATCATAGTAAAAGTCAATTATGTAATTAGTTTAATCCCTTCATCTAAATTAAGACTCTAACCTGAAGCTCTATTTACATATTGAATAATTGCTTGTGTAACTCTTTCCTCAGCTTATGTATAATAAGAAAATGGAACATTTATTATTTAAAATTATTTTATATTTTTAGTTTGTGTTAGTTTTTTTATATTAAATATAAAAAAATATATCGTTAATATAAAAAAATAATACTTTATATTAAATTATTAATCTTTTATATAGTATATAAGTGTACATATATATTTATAGTTTTAGTGATATTAATAGAAAATTGTGTTAAGAAAAAATTAAATGATTGAATAAACATACTTCCTATTTGTATAAAAATTGCATTGGTAGTTATTGGATCGTTGTGATTGATTTTACGACATCTTTGGCTTAAAATTTTTATTCACAAAATTCTTCTTCTAAATCTCTTTATTTTTATTTTTTTTCTTAAGTTATTTCCCTTTACAAAAACTTTAGGCCAATGATCTCTTTTAAAATCAATTGTTGTGATCAAATAATTTCTTGTTCTTGATCCAGTATCTGATCAGGTTTGGAATATGTTTTACATATCTCAGAACCCGTCTCACTAAAAAACCTTAGACCCCAAAACCCACCTCACCCTGCTTTGACCCTATTCCAAAACCTGTCCGCCTTAAAAACCCTAAACATTTTTATTCTTTTTAGAGTTTGTAGTCTTCATTGGACGATTGTGAATTTTTTTAATCTCGAAAGTTTACATATTAAAAATTATCATTTTTTTCTATATTTTATTTGTGCATATTATTAGTTAATGTTCCTATCATAGAGGAAGGCGTTACGTAAACAATTATTCTACTTTAATTGATTTTAAGAGAAATATTTTGCCTAAATTTATGTTCGCAAAATATCATAGTAAAACCAATTATGTAATTTGGTTAATCCCTTCATCTCAATTAACACTCTAATCTGAAGCCTTATTTACATATTAAATAATTGCTTATGCAACTCCTTCCTCAGCTTATATATGAGAAGAAAAATGAACATTTATTATTTAAAATTATTTTATATTTTTAATTTGTGTTGTTTTTTTATATTAAATATAGAAAAATATATCGATGATATAAAAAAAATAATACTTTATATTCCCTCCGTCCACTTACAAAGTTTACATTTACTTTTAGGCGGTGTTTAAGAAATAATAGTATTTTAATTATAGTGAGTTGAGTAGTTAAAAGTAGTGTAATGACATTTTTGCCTTTACTTTTTTGTATAAAAGTAATGATGTGATGTAAAGTAAAGGTATATGTGGAAAAAAATAAGGTATTTAATGAAATATTAACTTTGTAATTGGACGTTCCAAAATAGAAATATGTAAACATCGTAAATGGACGAAAGAAGTATTAAATTATTAATTAAAAAAAAAATTGATTGAATAAACACACTTCCTATTTCTATAAAAATTGCATTGGTAATTATTGGATCCTTTTATTGATTTATGAGAAATCTTTGGCCTAAAATTTTGTTCACAAAATTCTTCTTCTAAATCCCTTTATTTATATATATATATATATTTTTTTAATTTAATTCCATTGCCAAAAACTTTAGGCCAAAGATCTCTTTTAAAATCAATTGTTGTGATCAAATAATTTCTTGTTGATCCAGCAACAGAACGGATTCAGAACATGGTTTACATAGTTCAGAACCCATCCCGCTAGAAAATCTTAAACCCCGAAATCCACCTCGTCCAGCTTGGGCCCTACTCCAAAACTTGCCCGCCTTAAATCCACTAGTTCGAAGCCAACCCGGAAAACCCGCTTGGTTTTATAAAATATTTTTTCTTTTTTTATTAGTAATTTAACATGATATAATAAAAAAATCAAAAATCAAATATTTAAGAATTTTAATCACAATAACTATAATATATCTTCAATCACAGCCACACTGTTGTATCGTTGGAAAAATTGAGTTGAAAAATAAATACGCTGAAAATTGTGAAAAAAAAAAACAACCAAAATGTACTTAAAAAACAAAACAAAAAAACACTTAACCCCAACAAAAGAAAAAACCGAGGGATCAAATTCTTGTAGATCAAATGGTAAAGACATCCGTAGCTTGAGAGCTAGATCATAAATTCGATCTTGGACATAAATAAATAAACCCCCGATATTTTCATGTAATGTAATATAATGTCGGGTGTGTTTGTTTGGAGATTTAGATTTTGGATTAAAATTCGAATAGTAAAAAATTTGAATTGAAATAATTGTATAATGTAATATAAATAAATATTGATCTCATTTTTTAATATAAAATTGATTTTCAGTATAATATAAAAAATAAAAAATATATATTTAATTTGATATTTTTAAGGAGAAAATTTTTGTATAAATAGTGAAAATCTTTAAAAATCTTCCAAACAAACACCCACCTAATAAACAACAATTGGTCTTTCTAACAAAATACTGAATAAATGAAATGATTCAGTGAGGTCCATAAATACAGACAGACAAATGCATGCCAACTTACCAACGCTACACTACACTGCCACTGCAAGAACCATTCGAATTGTAAGAACATCAAATTAATTCTCATCACACCAACCTACAACCCTAAATGATCATACCTTGTCACAACTACTACCTTCTCGAATCGAATCTACGACTGTTCTACCAAGGTTACAGCCTAACTACACGGCCATAATGTACACAAAAGTTCTACAGACAAGTCGCGCGAAAACCGATTAATCACCACAAAAATATTACAATGCGTACCTTTCTTACATGCAGATTTCTCGAACCCCTGCGCAACGAACATGTCGTCGATCTTTATCCAGACTGCGAAGAAAAATACATCAATATATATATATATATGTATATATATATATATCGATAAACGAATTGGTTAAACGGTAATCGAATACCATTTCGTGCAGCTATATAACCATAGCCTCGTCTCCTCGTAGCTGCTCCAGCTGAGGTACAGAAACCGGCAAAATTTTAACCGAGATCACGGGCGCGTATCCGATCTCGTAACTAACGATCGCCGATCCAAATATGCCGAACTTCTCGGCACTATTGCGCGCGACTTCTGCGTCGGATCCCCGTTTGAAGATCACTTTGGCACGTCCCGATTCATGATCGACATGGGTCTCGGATTCCATCAACGATCCGAACCGTCGAAACATTTTGTTCAGGTTGATTTCCGACGGGATACGTCTCGTCTCTTCGAAGTTCAATATCAGCTCTGCCGGCGACGATAGTTGCTTCTTCCGTTTGGCGATCTCATCGGATTGCGGGGTTTCCGTCGAATTATTCCCGGTGGAGTATCGCTTCCTAGAATGCGTTTTACGTCCTGATTTTACAGATACTTGAAGATCTTTATCGCCATTTTCTTGGTTGTTCGACAACTGCACCGCAGGATAGTTATGGACGATCCTGTCCGTCCAATATGAATCATCCTCTGCGTCGAATTCGAATTCCTCGCCGGATACTGATCGATCAGATTTCCTCTTCCGGCCCCTTCGATTTACTAAAATCGAGCTTCGGAAACCCAGGAAAAAATTATGAATAAAACCCGGAAACGTTCCCTGTTTCTTCGGATTTATCGCCAACGCTTCGAGTTGCGACAAAATCTCGTTCGTGGAGAATTCGTTTACATTTTGAGCGCCGTCGATTACTGCTTCATCGGCGATACCTTTTACAACGGCGCCCGGCGCCGTAAGCTGGCTCGCAACTCGCCGGATGCATTCGCCAATTCTAAACGAAGGCTTAGGAGATTGGTTCATCGACTTCGCCGATCGTTTCTCGGATTGAGCATCTAGAGCATCAAGCGCTTTCCGTTTCCTTGCAGAAGTTGTCAAATCGAATTGTTCTTCGTCTTCAATATCCGGGTAATATTCCCCGTCGCCCATTAACTCCATCAAACTCCTCTCCTTCCTCGGACCGGAACCCTCTTTAGGAACACGTCTGTGTTTCTCGGAACTAACCATTTCGTTTTCGAGCAGCTCCCCGGAGGAAGAAGATTCAGACGGTAAACGATAACCTTTGAAGCAACAGAATGCGGACAGCTGCGCCTCGACGATCACTAAATCGAGCTGATCGACATAAGATGATGAACACAAGCTTAAGTCTCGAATGTAGTTTAGGAATTTATCGGGATCAAACGCATCGACGTGGGTCGACCGGTCCACACCGTATCTGCGGCTCGATTCCTCCCGTATTCCGCTGTTCTCCACAATTTGGTACTCGATTTTCTTGTACGCGTCTTTTGGAATGCAAGAACAGGCCAAGCCTAGCTCGACCCGTCTCGAAACCTCTTCCAACGCACAGTCGACGGCATTTTGAAGCGCTTCGGAATTACTTTGCTTCTCGATTTGTGGGAAATGTGATCGGAAAGGTTTCAGTACCGATGCATCGTTCCAAGCAAAGGTTCGATCGCCAAAATAAGCCACCAAATACGAGTCTTTCTTGTGATATTTCATCGCAGCCTCAGAAGCATCCTCTGCGTCGAATATTTGCCCGGGCCACCATGGATGGCTTCGGACTTTGCCCCAGACTAAATCTGATTTGACGAAACGATCTTCGTCTTCTTGAGGCAGCAGACAACTAGATTGATTTATTTCCTCAGTTCCCGCTTGTGGTTCCGTACAATCAATTTCCATTTTTTCATTGTTGTTTTCAGATTTCTTATTCCCCTCGTCCAAATGTACATTGTTCTGAAGAACTGGAGCCATTTCCCCACTTTCACCAAACGAAGCTTCCTTGCTCGGATCATCCATTCTGTGATTTGGCTCAGCAACTATACCGTGAGACTCGTCTAAGGAACCATGATTTTCTTGAACAATAGCCATTGGATCCTCAGTTTCCACAGAAAGACCTTCAATTTTAGGATTAGCCGTTGGGTCGTCAGTTTCTGCAGCAAGAACCTCATTTTCAGGATTAGCCATTGGATCGACAGTTTCCACAGCAAGAACTTCAATTGTAGGACTAGCCAATGAATCCTCAGTGTCCACAGCAAGAACTTCACTTTCAGGATTAGCTGTTGGATCGACAGTTTCCACAGCAAGAACTTCATTTTTAGGATTAGCCGTTGGATTGTCAGTGTCCACAGCAAGAACTTCATTTTTAGGGTTAGTCGATGGATCCTCACAGTCCACAGCAAGAACTTCAGTTTTAGGATTAGCCGTTGGATCGTCAGTGTCCACAGCAAGAACTTCATTTTTAGGATTAGCTGCATCTAAAGCTTCACCCTCGCCATTGTTCGTCGTTTCCTTTCCTCCAACACAACCTTCAACCCCATCAATCACTCGACCACTGTCTGCTGCATCAGTCGCCACAAAATCTCCACCCGAGTGATCATGACCTGCAGCACTGTCATTTGATGGCAACACCTCTTGTTCATCTGCAGAAACAGCTTGGTCCAAATGCTCAGACATCTCTAAATCGGCGCAACTTTCTACTGCCTTCTTTTCCTCCATTTCCACTTCGTTTTTTTCTGACACAGTTTCTACCATAGATTCAATTCCAACATTCGATGCCTCATTATCCAAATGCTCAGACATCTCTACATTGGCCGCCTTCTTTTCTTGAATCTCCACATCATCTTTTTCAGGCACAGTTTCTACCACAGATTCCATTCCAACATTCGATACATCTTTACCCCCATCATCAAATTCTAAATGCTCAGACATCTCTACATCGGCGCAACTTTCTACAGCCTTCTTTTCCTCAATCCCCAGATCATTTTTTTCCGACACAGTTTCTACTATAGACTCAACTCCAACATTCGATGCCTGATTATCCAAATCAAGAACATCTTTACCCCCATCATCAAATTCCAAATGTTCAGACATTTCTACATCCTTGCAACTCTCTACCGCCTTCTTTTCCTCAATCTCCACATTGTTTTTTTCCAACACAGTTTCTACAACAGATTCAATTCCAACATTCGACGCCTCGACATCCAAATCACCAACACGACCAACCCCTTCATCTACCTCAATTTCATTCCTAGACCCTTTCTCCAACACATCCACAGCAGTAACCCTAGTTTCTTCCCCATCCAAATCCTCGGCTACTCCCAACCCCCCAACCCCCTCTTTCCCACCCTCATCACCATCAATTGGTCCTCTAGCACCTACATCCTCTTCTTCAGCTACCTCATTTTCCCCAATTTTATCACCATCCCCTTCATTAACATTAACCCTAAGTTCCCCTCCATTCTTGTCCAAATCCCCACTCACGCCATCAACAAATACATCAGAGCCCATAACTTCCACCATCACTTCACCACCCTCCTCGGCCCCCAATTTTTCGACAGGGGACTCACTCTCAAGTTTAACCTTCGTCGAAGAATCCGAAACCTCAACACTACAATCTGCAGCCACGCCACACTCTTCATCCCCCATAACTAAATTTTGCGCCCAAGAATCACGACTTCATTCAATTAAACGACTAAAACCCTCGCCTGAAAAAAAATCTGGAAAGAATCAACCGCATACACATCTTAATCTAAGTAGCCCATAGATTCCCCCAATACGAAATCCAGAAAGTTGCACGAAACATCGAATTCGAAAAGCAATAATCAAAACCCTCGTTCGCGAAAACAAAAAAAAAATTAAAAACAGCAAAATTGGTACCTCAAACTAGTGCAGAGCAGAGCAATCTTGGATGGCAGGCAGGGTGATTAACAGTGGCGGACTTTTTGAGAGAGGCGGGGAAAGGGAAGGAGACAGAACACAGACAAGTAATAAGCAATGTTGAATCGAGAGAGACGCGGAGTAGAAAGCGACGATGGTTTACCCAAAAGCGAGGATGGTTTATATTGACAGTAACAGTAAAAAACAGCTGGCGTGTCGTTTTGGGATTTGACTGTCACTGTAACTTTTAGGAATTATCTGTCACTCTAATTATTTACTTTCTTTTCTTGCAAAATTGCAAAAACGTTTACGCTTTTGTCTGCTTTTAACCTTTTTAGAAAATTTTTTTCTTATTTTAAATAGCTATTATAGTAATACATTTTTTTATCCACTATGTATATATAATAGAAAAAAAAAATTATATATTTAATTATATTATATTATTTTATTGTATTTAGTTTTTTATAAACTCTCTCCGTCAGGCTTAATTGGATTTTTTTATTTAAAATAATACTCCCTCCTTCCTACATAATTTGTCCGTCTTTTTCTTTTTTAAAAATTAATTATACACTTTAATCATATTTTAAAATTTAAAATTTAAATTTTTTTAATTTTAATTAAACTATTTAGTTCTCTTAATCTTAATTTATAATTATTTCTACTAAATAATAATTATTTTTTACTAATACATTTCTTAATTGTTTACTAATTATATTTTACCTAAATTCCAGTATCTACAGTACAATAGACCCATATTACATGGGACGGAGAGAGTAATATTTAATTAATTAATAATAATTTTTTATATAATTAATAATTTTAAAATAAAATTAAAAATGTATTCTCAATGAAAAGTATCAAATTGTTTTTTTATTAATAAATTAAAAAATAATAATATTTTATTAATTAATAAAAATGTATAAATCAATTTTAATAATTTTGACATTGCAAATATAAAGAAAATATTTTTTTTCTAAAAGCATTATGAATATTTTAATATTTATATATTCATTATTAGAAATAAATATTTTTGAATAAAATGAATAAAAAAGATAAAAGTAAAACATTAAGTTTTGACGAAGAAAATATTACATCTTTTGTATTGGATTTCTGTCTATATTTGAAGGCCGATGAAGAAGAGATTGTCCCAACTAATCAAATGTCACAAAATCTAAAATGGGAAAATTTTAATTTTAATTTGATCGGCCCACAAGCCCTAAGGTCCAAATCTCATTTTTAATATTAATTTTTAATATTTAATATTGCATTTGTAGTTGAAAATTACACTTATTTAATTGGATACAGGTTTTTAATAAAATATGTAAATATACACTTACACAATATCTATCACACAAAAAAATATTAATTTTTCTAACCAATGCATAAAAAATCGTGTATATTCTAGCAAATGAAAGTAAACTATAACATAGAAAATTTGACGGATATGAGATATTTCTACGAAAGAAATAGTAATAACAAAAGTAAATAAATACATAGAAAATTGACCGATTGAGCATATTCTTAAGAAACAAATAGTAATAATAAAAATAAACTAATACATAGAAAATTAACGGCTAGATATATTTTTACGAAAGAAATAGTAATAACAAAAGTAAACTAATACTTAGAAAGTCGACAGATAGAGTATATTCCTATAAAATGGATAGTAATAACAAAAGTAAACTAATGCATAAAAAATCGACGGATATAGTATATTCCTACCAAACAAATAGTAATAACAAAAAGTAAACCAATATATAGAAAATCGATGGATATAGCAAATTTCTATAAAACAATTAGTAATAAGAAAAGTAAATCAATACATAGAAAATTAACCTATAGAAAATATTCCTACGGAAAAAAATAGTAATAACAAAAGAAGACCAATACATAGAAAGTCAACAGATATAATATATTCATATAAAATGAATAGTAATAACAACTAATACATAGAAAATCGACGGATAGAGTATATTCCTACTAAATATATAGTAATAACAAAAGTAAACCAGTGCATAAAAAATTGAGAGATATAGTATATTCCTATAAAACGAATAATAATAACGAAAGTAAATCAATATATAGAAAGTCGACTAATAGAGTATATTCCTATAAATCAATAGTAATAACAAAAGTAATATAATACATAGAAAATCGACGGATAAAATATATTCCTTCTAATCGAATGGTAATAACGAAAATAAACCAATACATAAAAATTGAGAGATATAGTATATTGCTACGAAACACATAGTAATAAAGAAAGTAAACCAATACATAGAAAATCGACCAATAGAGTATATTTTTAGTTTACTAAGCGAATAGTAATAACAAAAATAAACTAATACATAGAAAATTCACGGATAGAGTATATTCCAATAGTAATAACAAAAGTAAATCAATATATAAAAAACCAAAGGATATAGTATATTCCTACTAAGCGAATAGTAATAACAAAAGTAAACTCGTGCATAAAAAACTGAGGGATATAGTATATTCTCATGAAACGAAAAATAATAAAGTAAATCAATATATAGAAAATCGACAGATAAAATATACTCCGGTAAAACGAATAGTAATAGCGAAAGTAAAATAATACATAGAAAATCGACAGATAGAATATATTTCTACTAAGCGAATAGTAATAACGAAAATAAACCAATACATAAAAAATTGATGGATATAGTATATTGCTAGGTACAAAACGAATAGTAATAACAAAAGTAAACCAATACATAGAAAATCGACGAATAGAGTATATTATTACTAAGCGAATAGTAATTAAAAAAAAAAGTAAATCAATACATTAAAAAAAATAGAGGGATAGAGGATATTTCTACGAAATAAGATAGTAATAACAAAAATAAACAAATACATAGAAAATCGATGGATAAAATATATTCCTACTAAGCGAATAGTAATAACGAAAGTAAATTAATACATAAAAAACTAAGGAATATAGTACATTGCTTAGAAAAGAATAGTAATAACGAAAGTAAACCAATACATAGAAAATCAATTGATATAGTATATTCCTATTAAGCGAATAATAATAACGAAAGAAAATTAATACATAAAAAACTAAGGAATATAGTATAATCCTACGAAATGAAAGGTAATAACGAAAGTAAACCAATACATAGAAAATCGACGCATAGTATATTCCTACTAAACAAATAGTAATAACAAAAGCAGACCAATACATTGAAATTCGACGGACAAAGTATATTCCTACGGAACAAATAGTAATGTAGAATGAATAGCGCAAAAGAAATTCATATAATAAAAACAAGCATGTCGTACTCGCCAAAATTTGTTAATCCCGGGGTGTTCTTGCTAACCATTTTGCCTTGGCTTGCAAGAACAAAAACTGGAAACTCATCAAAAACGCCGGCCAAACACATAATAGAAGGGTGTGTTTGTTTGGGGGATTGACTTTTAAATACACTATCCATCCCATTTCCCCCCCCCCCTCCCCCAAAACATCAAATCAAACACCTAATTTTTTATATTATACTAAAAATCAATTTTACATTCAAAACATGACATCAACACCTATTTATATCACATCATACAACTATTCAAATTCAAAATTTTTACTATTCAAATCCCAACTCAAAATCCAAACCCCAAAACAAACACACCCGAAATTTATCCGTCCTCAAAGACAAGAAAAGGCGAAGACAAATTACAACAACAAGAAAAAGGCCATGAACATCATCAACATCAACAAGTACAGATTGTCTCCCTGCTCTACAATGTAGTATATGCTATTCATCCAACAATGCTAATTTACTCTACGACAATCGATATCACAGCCCTAAATGATCTTACCAATGTTTGAAAAATGTCAATAAGATAACACAGGAAAGTAGCTTTAAAACACAACAAGAATGTCAAGTAACGCCCCAATTTGAATCTCGAACAAATCCTAAAGAAATCGAATTAGCTTGCATTGTCTTGTCTACGATCCAAGTTTCCACCAAAATCGGGTCAGGATGCGATTAAATAAGGTGTTTCTTCAAGATAACTCTGCAGTATAAAATTAGAAAATCAAGATAAATCACACTCAAAAGTATAATAATACAAATCCCGTCTAAAAGAACTAACAAGAAATCTACAAACGAACCAATGAATGACCAATCATTTTGTTAAGTCGGGATAAGGACCTTAATTTAAACCAATTTTCTTTATTTGATTGTCCGCTAAACTTATACATTGTTTATTTATAATAAAAACTTTGATCCACATATATTTATTACTATACTTTAACAAGTAATAATCAATTTGTTACTATTTTTTTACAAGGAATTGAATCATATGCTGACGTGCATATGAATTTAGCATATATTGAATTCAATCTCAACCCCTAATTTTAAATCTAATCATTTGAATTAAATAAATAACTTAGTAATTAAGGATGCTAATCAAATTCAGCTATGTTGAATTAGAAATCCATCCTATTTTTCTAATTACCGGATTACTTTCTATTAACTTTATAATAATTTTCTCGTAATACTCCATTTTATTTTTTATTTACTTCATTTTTATATTAAAATATTATTATCTCATAGTCGACATGTTGAAAAAAAAGTGGCATAAACATTTCGAATAGAGGGAGTATTTTGCAGCATGTTTGACGCAAAGTATGATAACCATCCGTAAAGAGTTCAACTATGTAATTTAAGGCAGAAGGTTATTACCATATTGCGACGCTACGGCTGAAGCTTTGTGTCTTTGGAGTTTTGCGGCGCTGAAAGGGGCGATACTTTCAATGATATCATCGACAAATAGTTTATCTCATAGTCAACGCGAACTGATCCAAAAACATTAAAATTTTTGGAGCTATTCAGAGCAACTTCCGCATCGGATCCGCGCTTAAAGACCACTTTGGCATGACCCGAGCCATGATCAACTTCTGTCTTGGACTCCATTAATGGCCCAAATCGTCTAAACATTTTGTTAAGTTTCATTTCTGTCGGTAGGCTCTTTGTCTCTGCAAATCTCAAAATTAATTTCGCCGGCAACGACCCCCAATTCTCACTCCGTTTAACTGTCTCATCCATTTCCACCTCTTCTGTAGGGTAACTACCGTCCGAAAATCTTTTCCTAGAATTACGAATCGGCATAGTGCTATTTAAGAAATCCGTCGCAGCCCCAATTCGAAGATTTCCAGCTTCTTTCATATGATCCTGCAGAAATTGCTCGGAGGGGTAGCTCTGCACAATCCCTTCCGACGAGTGAAAATCAAATTCAAAATCTTCACAGGTTATCAGATCATCTAATTTTGTTTCTGTCGACACAATTGAACTCCTAAAACCTTCGAAGAAACTGCGGACATTGTAGTGAAACTCAGGGCCGTTATTTGGACTCCGCGCCAGCGCCTGAAGCTGCGAAACCATATCGTCGACAGAAAACAATTTTGCCGAAATAACAACGCTACGCCTTTCCGCAAGCTCGTAAATCTTCTGAAAACCATTCATTCCCACCACATTGCTGTCACTATGCAAGATTACCGACTTTTCCGGAAGATTAACCCTACGATCCTTCCGTTGGTACGTAATTCGGATTTCTTCGTGAACATTGTCTTCGTCGCCGTCCAGTGGATCAAAAGAATGAACATTGCTCAACGAATTCGCCATTACTGCATCTGCCTCAACACCATCACCTGCAATTTCAGCTGCCTTCTGATACTGCTCTGAAATTTCTTCCCCATTCACAACATTCCCACCGCCACCGGTTAACTCGCCGGAAACCACACTTTCCGGAAAATCTGCTCCGCACCTAGAATTTGCAGCGACTTCAGAAGCACAAAAATCAACAGATTCTTTAAGCTTCGAAGCCTCCAATGCCCTAATTTGTTCATCCCCAAAATCGCCCTCTTTGTGACCACTACTGACTCCATCGACATACACATCCGACCCGACAATCTCCACCATTACCTCCTCTCCATTCCCCTCTTCATAACACGCCTCGTCTTCCATAACAGAAGCTTCTAGATCGAGCTTCGAATAACTTAAAAACAACAAAAACGAAACGAGAACACAAACACACAATTGACAATTCGCTTGCCCTAGCCCAGACGAAATTCGAAATTTAAGGAAACGCGTAATCCAAATTAAACCACAAAGAAAGATTCAGATAGATACGAATCGACGTGCCCTAGCCCAGCGAGACGAAGTAGAAGCGCAGAGTGAGAAGTGAACCCACCCAGGTAGCAATTAATTAATTAATCCCAATAGCGAGTTCAAAGCAAAGCAAAGGAGAGGGGAGATAGTAAACCATAATAATACCTTGAGGGAGGTTTGAGTGAATGAAGAATGGCGGAGGAGAAGGGTTAGAACGCAGACAGACATGGCGGTCGGTCGTCCTTCCTTCTCTAACTCAACTCAGCCCCGAAATGGAACTGAACTGAACTGAGCCTATTGTGTTGTGTTAATTGCAGTAAAGTGATGTTAATATTTATAGGATTTTGACTATTACTTTTAACTTTTAATAAAAATAATTTATTTTCAATTACAAAAATTAAATACTCCTATGTTCTACTTCTTGAATATTATAAAAAATTTATTAAATAATTAATAGATTAAGTAAAAATATAATAGTAAAAATAATAAAATTTGAAATCAATAAAATTTTTATTACAAATGAAAATGTATAAATTAAAAGGACTAAAATAAGGGAAAAAAATAATAATAAGTACATAATTTGGATGGATCGAGAGAATACTATTTAATTCAACATTTTAATAAATTACTATGCATTAATATTACACTTGAAATTTTATAGTATATTAAAAAATAATAGAGTAATATTTTATTGATGAATAAAAATATTTAAGAGGTTTTGACAATTTTATCATAAATTAATAGTATGTTTAATTATATTTTTGTAATTTAGGTCAAAATTAATAATATTTTAGTATTATTGTATAATTATTTTTACCAAAATATAAATATATATATATTTAATGAAACATAAAAAATAAAAATAAAAATTACTTTAAATTGAGACCGGAAGGTGTATGATAGGTAAAAAAAATACATCAAATAAAATAAATACACTAATAATTCAAAAAAAAAAAATCAAATGCTTTTACAAAATTTATATCTTAATTTAGATTCAAAACTAAAATAAATATATAAAAAAAAATCATACTGAGTAAACCCATGGAACCCATGACTTTAAGATCACTCGTGGAACCCCTACCACCAGATTATCCCTTAGGGGACTACTTTTGAATATGTATGGGTGTGTTAATTTTGTATTTTTAAATTGATATATTTTTTTATGTTGCATATGAAAAACTATATTGATAATATAAAAAAATAATATTTTGTGTTGAATTATTGATTTCTTCGTATATTTTTAAAGTATATATATATATATTATATACTTTCCCTGTACACTTTGAAAGTTTACATTTGTTTTTTCTTATATTTTTAAAGTATATATATTATATACTTTCCCTGTACACTTTGAAAGTTTACATTTGTTTTTTTCGTGTTGATATTTGAATATTAATTATTATATCAAAACGTAAATACAAATCAAAGAAAGATGACAAAAATTATTTTCATTAGTGTCTTATAATACAAATATAATAATATTTGTATAAAAGATATTTTTAACGTACAGTGACGTAAAAAAAAATATATAAACTTATTAACTGGACAGATGGAGTTATATATAATTATGTGTAAATATTTTACTTTTTAATTAATATTATAAGAAATCGTATCGATTAAAAATTAATTGAACGAATATAGTAATATTTATTCAGTGTTTTGTTGGGATTTTACTTGCATATTGTCTTTTAATAGGGTGTTCTTTTTATTTTTTTCTCTTATATATTTTTTGAAAAAATGTAATATATTATACATATTTATTATTTTTATATTACCTATATAATTTTCACGTAAAAAAATATCTTATTTCTTTAAACAAACACACCCTTGTATACAAAACTTTACAATGATTATGGAGTAAAATATTAGAAGGAAGGATGGGTACGAGAAATTGTCTTCGTAATATAAAAAATACTCCATTCGTCCCATATTTATTTATCCAGTTACTTTATGCACAAAATTTTAAAAATATTAGTATTATATTGGAATGTAGTAAAAATAAAAGTAAAAAGACTAAATTACCTTATGATACAAAGATAATATCTTTTGTCTAATATATTGTAAATTGGAAAGATATTTGTAATTTTAGGTAAATATTACAGTTACTTAGAAATGAAACGAATACTTTGTTATGATAAAAATAAAAAATAAAAAAAATTGATAGATTGTGAAGGACCGAGAAACTAATATTTTGTGTAATGATTGACTTTTATAAATGAACAATGTATATATTATAGTATTAATGCATGTGTATAGTTGTATTTTTTTAATAATATCTATAGATAATTGATTCATTTAAAAATATTGAATGAACAGACTTGGATAGGTATAAATAAGATTTTTAACTTAAAAAAATACTTAAAAATAAGAATTAGTGAATTACAATACTACTTTATTTATTAGTTGCGAGTATCGAAGAAAATGACACACCAAATAGAAGTACATAATTTTAAAACTTCCGACGCTATGTGTTGCTTATCGTATATAGTTCTGCGACTTGTCTTATCGGCCTACTTTACAGAATATTAAATGTGATCGAAAATTTAACCAAAGCGTACTTGAAGAGTAGCGATTGCAAATTCTCATGTTATTTATGACAATCTATCAAAATTAAGCATTGAGCACCATTTATATAGCCAAATATTGCACAATTTTATGTGTAATGATTCTCAATACATAATATATATATATATATATTTTATTTTCTTAAAAAAATAAAATTCAACACATAATATTTAAAATATTAAACAAGCATACTCTAACTCGCCAAAGAAGATTTATAAATTTGATGAAAGTAACTGAAATATGACATATCTAATTCATACAATTTCTTGAGTCTATTTCTAACATTTACATATTTATGTTTTGATCCGTCTGATTCAAAGATTTACGTTTCATTTCTTACTAACTAAATGTGACACTACCTCTAACTACTAATATATATATTTTTCTACTTATTTATCATATTATCTTGACTTTATTATATATTTATATCTAAAAACAAACACAATGTGATTTTTACATTACTATATCTACTCACTATATTAAAATACTAATATTTATTAATCGGAGTACAAAAAAATAAATATAAATCTTAGAGGCGGACGTTGAAAGAGCATTATTTTAGCAAAAATCTTCAGCCAAACTATTTCGTATCCATTCATGAAAAGTAGCATATTAAAATCAAGAAACTTAACACACAAGATGTGAAAATGCCATTTTTAGAAGTGACCAAAAAAAAGCCGAAGAGTCGAAAATATATGGAAATACATGGAAACGAACATTTTTGGCGATTGATATGAGCCGCAGTTATCGAAAACAGTACATAGGAGAAATATATCAATCAAGAAGAGCATTCAACAACATACTTGAGTCCAGTCGAATTGGCTATAACTTTATTACCTCGACACAAGATTAGTCCAAGGTTGTCCATTAGAGGGGGCATGCTTTCTCAAACTCCTTTTGCTCCTTGCGACACAAATCGAACTCATTTGTGTGGTAATACATGCACCCGGCGTATGCATCCAGTTCTTTGTTGCAGCTCTGGTGCAGATCTCGCAACCTAGGCAGACACACAGCCATTGTAAGAAGTTTTGGAGATTTTGAGGTGTTCGTGTAAGGATTATTTACCCTTTTCGTAGTAGTCTAGTCATCATCTATTGATGTTTCAACTGTAGGCGCTACACCTGATACTACGGCATTGTATACAAACTCTAGTACATTGTTGTTTCATGTAAATATAAAAGAAATCAACAAAATTAGTACAATTAGTTTCGGATATAGAGTAATGATTTTGTTTACATATATATTTTCGAAAGTTTTGACACTATTCATCATCAATTGTAAGTTTTTCAAAAAAGCATCCAATCAAGTACATATTTTTTTTCACAAAATATTTCATCAACTATTCAAATTTTTATTATTTTCAAAATTTTTCAAATCTCTAAAACTTCTATCCAAAGTCTAAACACAGTCTACTCAATCATTACCCCTCTATTCGAAACTGATTATATCATAAAAAGTTTATTCTAAATCTAAACATCAATCATAATCTTATATTTAATCACACCATCGAATTATTGTATAATACTCTAAATCGAATCAAATGTAGGTTATATATATCAACAAGAAAGCACGCACAATCCATGTGCATATATGTCCAAACATAGAGGCCTTCAACTGCAAGGGGTTGGGTTTTCGGCTTAAAGGGTTCTATCATTCTCTTTTTCCACCCCACGTTGTTTTGATTTCTTGCATTTTTCCTTTCTTGATACGCTCTTGTTGAGTTATACAAGTTCGATTTTTCATCCTAATGCAAATTCCAATTTACGAGGGTATTCCATCAAGTCAAGTGTTCTTCCTTACATCAACTATAACAATTTTTCTTGACTAAACTTCTGTCGTGTAGAGATTATGCAAAGGGCTTCGAAAGGAGTATAAACAGTGACTTGGAGTGAACAAAAAATTTAAGATAGGCAATCGAAATAAATATTAAACTACAGTCTACAAAAGATTGTGGAGTACAAACAAAAGATAGAAATGTAATTGCCAATTTAACAAACTTAGAAAATTTCATAGAAGTACTCCTCTTTGAAAAATAATCCAAAACCCTTTGCAGAATTATTGTATGCTACCTTGTGGAAGATGGATGCAGTGGCTGTAAAAAGGGGCTAATTTTCCAAACTTTCAGAATAACACAATCTATTTCTTGTCGGACTATTTTACTCTTCAAGTTAGCATATTTAAAAATGTTTTTAAAATAACAAACTACAGTAGCTACAACAACTACATATTGCAAATATTTACTTTTCGTATTGTTTGAAATCGACAAGTAGTATAGTTACTCATTAGAAGAAAATTTCACTCTTAAAGAATCATCGAAGATTGTCTCTCTTTCCCACACCTGAGGTTTTTAGCATTTTTTTGGTTCATTCCAATTTTTTCTATATATATACTGTTCTGCCTCGGCCACTTCCTATAGCATAACTAACTTAACCAATCATGCACAACCCACACTGAATAAAGAGCACGGTTTTCAGTAGCTTCCAGAAAAAAGGCTCAACCACTTCGAAGGCCATATTTAACACACAACACAAGCAGCATGAGAAAGCAATAAAATAAGTACTTCATACAATCAACAAACGATGAATTTTAACTTACAGATGGAGCACACATTGCGTCACTTGGCGCCCTTTGTCAAGGCACTTCTCAGGGTTCGGATCATCCTTCTTGCACTTCAAATATGCCAAATTCTCGCCACGGCATCTAGTACCAATATGCTTCGCTGCAGCCATCAATACTGATGAAGTTGGGACTGGTTCTCCCGCATCCACAGTGCTTGCCATCCTTCACAAAACAATTACATAAAAGCATCTTCAGCAAAGATCAAATATAGTTTCGATACCACAAAAAATGCCATTCTTTTCTCAATCCCAAAATGTATCTTCGTCTACTTCCAAATTTTCTAAATAAATCAAATTACCAATGAAGATTGCAAGCTCAACATAATCCTTGAATGCATAGTGTCAACTATAATTTTCCATCAATCTTAACTATTTCAAAATTCTAATGGAACTATATGAGCTCAAATCGCCATAATGTAACAACAAACTTTCAAATAAAACTAATTTTCTTCACATAAGATAGGGTTATGAATACTTCTAAAAGAACCAAAATGACAAATTAACTGCACATCCCAGAAGTTCATATCCTATTTATTTCAAACCCTAACTATCACAAATTCGAAGTTCCCCATAAAAAACCATATAGACACACAATATTGCTACATTTCATGGTTAACAACAAAATGCTAAATTCCAAGAGGCCAATAAACAACCCCAAAGGCCTCAAAACACCCAATTATAGATTTCGGCGTCGTAATTGCACTAGAATGAATCTAATCCGCATCAGTACAAACGGAACCTGTTAAAAACTTATGATTGGATAAAGATGAAAACATAATACCTTTTTCCTACGGAACAAAACCAAAACCGTCGATAGATCAGTGAAAACCCATCCATTTGTAAACACAAAAAAACTAAAAGAAAACTGTGCATTCCGTCATTTCCCTTCCATCGAAAGTTCGAAAATTAAGAACAGAATCAAAATTGTCGGCCGAAAACGCACCTTTTCCCCCTCTTTTCTAGTAATCCAGTCGAGAGTGATTGGGATTCGAAATCGATCAAGTCGGGTCTCAGCTCAGGCAACGCAGCTTCCTTCGTAGTCGCCCATTCTTTCTCGCGTAATTAGGACCTTTTGCAGGGGTAAATCTGCCATTGCACTTTACAAATATGGGCCTTTTTGGGCTTAGCAGTTTTTTCTTTTAATCCAACTCTTCATTTGTCATGGGAAAAATGTATTTGGCAGCCAAACTTATTCCCTTTTTTGTATCTAGAGTTTGTTTGTTTTGTGTTCGATTTGAAGAAAATATATATATATATATATATATATATTTGTTTTTATGTAAAATATAGAAAATTGTGCATATTATATTAATATAATGAGTGTATGATATATTAATTTATTTTTTTAAAAAAAGTATATAAAAAAAGTTTTAAAGACAAAAAAAAAAAACAAATCCTATTCCTTACTATTTTTTATAATATTTATATTTATATTCATTTATTTATTTTTATTTCCCACTATTTCACCTCTCCTCTTAATAATGCTAAGCCCATCAACTTTTAAAGTAATAGTTTTTGTTTGATTATAATTTTAAATTCATTTGAAATAAAATATAAATATAATTTTTTTTGTTTGAAGTAATGCTTTTATTGTAAATCTTAGAAGTGAATAGTGATAATTTTATTTTGAAATTGCAACAAAACATACAGGTAATTAAAAAATATTGATATTTTTGTAGTATTAATACTCTTTAGTTTTGTAGTAAATTAAAAAATAATAATATTTTATTAATCAATAAAAATAATAAGAAATTTTGATATTTACTGATGTACAGAGTACTTGTATATCTAATGATATTTTTGCATTAGAATAATAATTATTTTTACCAAAATTGAAAAAAAAATATTTTCAAGTGGGACCGACAAAAATGTAAAAAAAATACTTATTGTAATTTTACATTATGATATATAATTACTAAAATTAAAAAAATGGCTAGACCAAAAGAAAATAAAAATTAAACCTAAAAGGTAGACTTAAAGAGTATTACATTGAAAACACAAATCATTAAAAAATCACATACAATATTATTTTTCCTAAAAAGTTTAAATTTAAAACATTCCAAAAATCTATTTATTTATTTTATTCAATTTCTCATTTTCCTTTTAAAAACATTAAATCCGAAATATATATATATATATATAACAAGTTGATTATATAATTTTATTTAACATAACAATAAAAGCATATGTTGTGATGTATATGGATTTACACGTATCTGTCACAATAATAAACGAGTCGGGTTAATATTGAAATTCTCAACTTGAATCTGACACGAAATTCGATTATAATATATTAATATATATATATGTAAAATAATTATAATTTAATTAATTAATCAATATATTACTTTAAACTAAGTTTAACTTCAAAATAATTCTTAAGATAATTATTGTAAACATTACACTAGAACCAACAAAAACTAATATAATACGACAACATGACAAAAAATAATTGAATTTAATAAAAAATTTCAACTCAATTATGTATACTAATTAATATAAACCCAATATGATAATAAACAAATCGAATTAAAATTAAATTATTTAATCCATTTAAAATATTCAATTAAATACGAATCGACCATGTTGGCAACTCTACTTATAAACTAATTATAACATGTGACACATGAACATTATACTAACATTTGTATTATGTGCTTTCATCACTGCTAAAATTGTATAATTCAGCCATGTTATACATAGATCAATGATTTTATCTATAAAAATGACCAAAATTCAAAACACAAATCAGCTAAATTCAATAATTGCGTACCTTACAAATACAGGAATGAACTGAAGGAGGAGCACTTGCACTGCATCATCAACTGCAGTGTCACGGCGGCAGCACAACTTTCCGGCAGAGTACGACATCGGAGATACTCTTCCCGTGCCTGTCGATCCTCCGAGAACAGTTCACTCCGCCGTCCAGGATGTTGCGGACGACAACATTCATCGAATGGATCCCTCTAACCTCGTAGATCTCCACCCTAACATGCTCCTCCATCCATTTATCTCTTTTTTCTATATCTTCCGAGCTCGGAAAGGATGTCGGATTCACAAGTGTCGACAGCGCTTCCTTTACCCATTTTTCTGTCACAAGTGACTTAAGCCTCCGAAGATCGGGTGGATGGTGGGGAATAATCGAGAAGTTCAGGTCATTTCCTTTGTCGCCGGCCCGGCTATGAGCTATGTCATACAGAGGAATTTGTTGGCCAGCGGGAGCAGGAGATTGGCGAGTTTCTGGAATGATCGGCTCGTGGATTGAATTTCCGAGGACTGTTGTGGACTTCGATTCTGTTGTAGGATTATTCGGCTTCGTAGGTGCAGGGTAGTTGCTTGAAGCAGTTGAGCTGAATGGTTCGCTTTGGGCTGCCGATATTTGCCAATGGACGGATTCGCGCTCTACCTGTATGATCGAAATTCAGGTTTGTAAGTGCAGAGTTGTATAATAACCATCTTTATCATGCTAAATCAAAGCAACCTTCGATTGATGAGACAATAGTCAACTCGAAAAACACGAGATTTAAGATGTAAGGATATACAATGTCTTGCAACAAATTGCGAGGAGAAACGATAGGATTTAGTAGTACTAGTAGAAACATGGATTTGCCGGTTTCATAAGATCCAAATAAAACATGCACGCTAACCGTCACTCGATGAAAAAATAACAAATAAAATAGCTATTATCGTAACATGCTGATTAGCCCCAATCAACATATAAAAAATAAGTAGACCTCAAACTAAATACTCCTTTCGTCCCAATTCAAAGTACCATTTTATCATTTTTGTAAATCTCATTTCAAACTATCTATTTCCTATTTAAGAAAAAGTAATCGTACACATTTACTCGTGTTTTGTCTATTGTTCGATCGTGTGTTGTCAGCACTGTAACGGCCGTTTATTCATATATTTATATATATACACATGAAGCTGCAGAATACCGGAACACAGAAACACATACAGAGAGAGGGAGGGAGAGAGAGGAGGTGAGGGGCTTACCAATTCCTTTTCAAGAATCATCTCTTTCTTCCATCCAGTGCTGCATCAAGTTTATTTAAAGAATAAAGGTAAGAATACATCGAAGAATGAGAATATATATATATATATATATAGATAACTAACTGTAGTAACATCTCGATTTTATTTGATGAAAGATCATTCATTTCAGGAATCTGAAATCCTAAACTTCACAATATAAACTATGAAATAAGGAACAAAGAGGGTCTGGAAAAACATCACACAAGAGAGACTGAAAAATAGTGCAGGAGGAAAATTTTCGATGTCGCAAACTAATTCTCATCTACAGCTTTAATTAACACCACCTGCTAAAAAACACTATATGAATAAATTTCTGTACTATAGAATCACTATCATCTCCTTCAGACTTGAATTCATTCCAACACATATCAATGTAGCTACTGGTTAGACGATATAGTATTTTCATTAGAAAAATAGTATCAATTTTAAGATATTTCGAAAATCCCTTAGGCATGCCAACAACTCAGATGATATAATCTTTTCTAGACAACAACAACAGACTGTTTTCTGAAAATGAAATCAAATGGCTAAAAATACAAACATTAACACAGTCGAGTGCTGGTGCTCACTGTGACTTGTTTAACGCAGACTTGTAAAAAACGTGCAGAAAAGAACCAAGCACAACTTAAAAGGGAGCGAAAATAGAGACCTGATACCACCCCCACCAGCAGGTCCATTGGTGTATAAAGCTATGAACTCCTTCGTGAACTGAATTGCATGCGCCTCGTTCTCAAACAAGCCATCCATTCTTAATCTAATGTCATTGCTATGCTCTGATATGACATCACTGATGCATGTTGCTTTTATGCTATCCATACCTATAATATAGGAAATAATAAGACTGCTTGTACCAGGGTATGATTCTTCCATCCATGACCTAACCTGAAGCCAGAAAAGATTTAACAATACCATGGCTATAACCAAGCATAGTAATATCTACACACACACACATATATCATATATATGTGTGTGTGCGTGTTGGTGTATGTATTCTGTTGCCTTTTTATGATCCTACAACATAAAGTATATATTTGTAAAACTGTATCTGTAAGTTCTCCTTATATTCAAATACTTTGACGAAGAAAAGACTACAAACTCATGATAGATATATGTGGAGATGCCTACCAGAAACTCTGCAGCTTTTGCACGTTGAATAGATTTGAGACCTCCATAGGATATCTCACCCCAGCCTTTCCATCCACAGTCCTACAAACAACAATAACAAGCATGAAAAGCTAAAATTGTCACCTTTCTACATCCAACGGTGGAAAAAATCAATTAGAAAGATAAATACATAATGCCACGAATTTCGCTTTTATCAATTTCTTCCATCTGGTACTTTGCAGGAGGGAATGGGGAGGCTACCTTTGATCTTAGTAGCAATAATTTTTTAGGTACTGATTCAGAAGAAGGCTTTGCACCAGAACAGAGAACTCTGCTATTTGACAGCGGATGAAATGTAACATCACAAAAATCGACAATCTGTGGATAGAATAAAAAACACATTTGAGGTTCATTTGAGTCTCTGCTACCCTTAATCAAGTTCAACAACAGTTGTAGTTAATTCTAATTTAGAACCCAACCTTACCACGTCTGGGGTTATATATGCACTGGGATCCCCAACTTCATAAAGAAGTTGTTGAGCGCACGTGTTAAAGTCGAGATATCCTCCACTGCCTTCTGATTTTGCTACACAAACTGTGCCATCATAGGTAACTTCAGCAAATGGAAGGGACAAATTGAGGAGTTCTTGGAAGGGCATGTTTCGGTGTTTATCACCTGGAATATATACATACAAACATTTATTTATTCAAATAGTACAAAGTAACAGAAATGTCAAATGCAGCTTATCCATTCCAGCTTTAGCACGGCAGCAGGCTTAAGTATAATGTACCTGGATGCATATAATATCCTCCTGTGAGTTGACAACCACATTCCAGAAGGTGGCCTGCAAGCGAACCTTGTGCCAAGAGGTGCAACTCATCCCAGTTCCATCCTAATTCGAAAACCTGATCACAAAAGAAGCCATTCATTTGGCAGAAGAACAAAATTTGGAGCCAAAACAAAAGCTACACAATAAGCCTAAAATGCTCGTGCAATAGCAATTTTTTCGCAAGATAATGCAATTAAACTTTATACCATTGGAGCTAAGAATAATGAAGCATCAGCAACCCTAGAAGTAATTATAACATCTGGTGTGTATTGCTGCAGACATTCAACAATAGGAGCTGCTCCGAGATACACGCTAACTTCCTGCACAGAGAGAATGTTTAGATACAAAATGTAAAGGCCATGAAATAACAGTAGGGAGCTATCCTCTCCTTAAGGAGTTTTCTCTAGTATCTTAAAACTAGAATTTCCTAGGTATAAAAGACTCAGCATTTAACTATAGAGAAAGTGTAAAAGATCATAATCAGATGCAACAACGATGGATGTGACTCACGGACAGAGTAAAGAGTGCCAAAATCTTACACCGTCTACATCTTTCTGTTTATTGTCCGGTCCTGAAGGTGTGAACAATGTTAGTAACATAAATCTAAAATTTCACATTATTATTCATATCTTTTGCAAAGAAATCAATACCTATTTCAGATACAGATGATTGATATGCCACCCCAACGCTTACACTAATTCCTAACTTTTTTGCAATTTGTAAAACCTCTTCTTGTGCACCATATGGACTCTCTGCCGAGAAATACAATTTACAAAATGTATGATCATAGTCAACAGATTGATAGGCTCAGAGTGACACAATTCCAGAACTATGAACACACCAAATAATATGGAAAAATACTGGAAAGAAAGAAAGTTAGTTCAGTCAGAATTGAAAGATGGAACACTTGATACTTACTAGCACCAATGTTAGTAATAATGCGGACACCCCTCTCCACAGCTAGAGGTAAAAGCATTTCCATCCACTCCGAAACTGCATAATCGTCAATAGTTTTCATCACTACATAAAGGCACACTAGCACTTTAATACAACTCGATAATACACTAGCACAATGGCAGTGAAATGTCCAACCATCAATATTCATTTCTCTTCATTGTCAAATATTCAGTCAAGCAACTCGAAAATCAACACACTTTACTACCAAGGAGCCAAGAATACACAATAAATCATATACACATATACAAAATAAACCATATACACATATACACAAGATCTCATCAATTGCAGAAACATTTGCATATGCATCAAAGAATAAAGAACTTTCAGCTAAAACCATCCAATTTTCATAACAGAACAATCTCCTAAAAATAAGATTCTGAAACTTTAAGCCATAAATCATCGAATTGAAGCAACAAACAAAACATAAAGAATAATTCAAAGTCCAGAAGTTCAAATTTGAAAATTTAAACATACCGCGAGGATCATAACCTTTGCCGCCGGATTTCACAGCAGCGCAGCGCTCCGCCAGCGTGCGTTCCGCCAAACATTCCAGCACCAAATAGTCCAACTCCTTCACTCGTTGAAGCAATTTCAGCGCGGCGGGTGGCCTATCGCCTCCGAAACCAGCTCCGCACCCTACAACAACCTTTTCCTTCCTTCTCCGCGGATTCAACCTCTGCAGTTGCCAAAACAGCCGAATATTCGCTAAAAGCTACGAAACTGAGTCCAACAACGCAAGATTAAGTAGAAAATAGGTACAAACAAACCGGCCTAACAACGCAGTCGTGAGTCTCCATTACAGTGTCCGCCATCAGCCGCAGCCAATCCTGCAAACATCGACAAAGAAGGATGCTCCGGAAATCTGATGGAACAGGAGAATTACATCCCGCAAAATTAATACTAATACATAGACGGAGCGCCGCCACATCGCTATCTGCCATACCAAACCAAACCAAACGTGCTTCTGTTCTGTCATCGTTATCCAATCATCAACATGGTTCTCTTTACACGTATATTTATCATTTTTGTTTTTAATTTTACTACTCATCATTATTATTATTATTATTATTATTATTATTATATTACTCCTGCGTCCTATTCAAACAATGACATTTTCTATATTTCGAATAGGCCCAAAATAAGGTTAGCATTTATTTAATAATTGTATTATTTATCTAAAATAAATATCCTTATAATTTATATTATATTACAATTCATTATAATAATATTTAAAAATCTATGTCAATTTTGCACCAGAATAGAGAAAATATTTTTTTTCTTATGACGTGAGACGTGCTACCACGTGGATATGAAGACATCGATTACATAGTGATAATATTTTATATATTACATTCCTTCACAGCCAATTTATATTAAGTTTTTGTATGTTAATTTTGAATAACAAATATTATATCGTAACGTAGTACAATATTTTTAATACTAAATGTAATGACATTATAAAAAAAAAAAAGTACATAAATATAAGAATATTTTTTAAGCAAAATACTATAAAATCCCCATGTTGTTTGGTGAATTTGCTGAAAACTTGTGTGATTCAAAAATTTCATTTACTTGTGTTTTCTAAAATATTGCAAAAAAATACCCCACCTTTAATATTTAACGGAGATTGTATTGCATGCGCAATCAATGTGTGTATTATTGAAAATTTACATAATAAAAAAAGAAAAAGTACAAAATTACCCATCATTGTCCTATAATTTATCTAATTATCTTTCCTTTCTCCTCTGCACGTGAATTTGAGAATTTTTCAATCTCACTGGATTTTCTTCATCTTCTGATGATAAGTCAGGTTGTGTCGTTCCGCTTCAGCCTCTTCTCTCCACCGCCCGCGCAGTCTCAATGTCACCAGCATTTTTTTTTTTTCACTTAGGCCCAAAAACCGACTCGCTCAAACTGCTAATCCAAATTTGCTGCAGTTTTGTGTTGTTATGGGTTGGATTACGGGTCTGATCGGGTATGGTTTTTTCGAAATAGGGTTGGCAAGACCTCGACTAAACGGAATTGGAAATATGCGGTAAGATATTTTTGGGTGATTTTCATTACTTTTATTTTTAAGAAATTTATTTGATTTAATATTAATTAAAATTTATTGTTTCAATTTGATTTTTTTTTAATTCTTAATCGAGTATGAGCATTAATTTATTTTTCCTTCTTAAATTTTATTTTTGTGTGTTTGAATTGAGGATTTTTAGACATGCTATATATATATATATCTGTGTGTTTGTGTGTGTATTGAGGATTTTTAGACATGCTATATATATATATGTGTTTGTGTGTGTCTATACGTTGGAGATGCAACTTGCTGATAGGGCTACTTTTGTTATTATTTACCGTATTTATTTTAAATTGAAAATTTATGATATATTTTTCTAATTTAGATTGACACCAAAAATTGATGTTATAATGCAATTTAAATAAGAGGTGAGTTGCAGAGTATATTTTACACAAATTGAGAGAAAAAATATATAGATAGAGAAAGTGGGGAAGGAAGAGAATAATTAGGTAGATAGAGAAAGAAGAAGAAGATGCGGAAGCGAGGGAAGAAGAATACGAGGAAATAAGGGAAGAGAGAGAAGAAAATATGGTGCAACGAAGAACATCATGTACAAGAAAGAAGAAAGGTAATTTATACAAGGGCATAACGGTCCGTGCATATAAAAATTTAACACCATTAGTGCAATTTAAAAGGAGGGGGCAAATATACAACATTTTAAAAACGACAATTTTATGGAATTTTTGGAACACGGGGATTTTATGCTATTTTGCGTTAAAAAGTTTTTGGGAGATCCAGCAAGAAAGTATATATATTTCTATTTTGGGACGTCTAATTACAAAGTAAGCATTTCATTAAACGCCTCATTTTTTCCCCAAATACCTTTACTTTACATCACATTGTTACTTTTACACCAAAGAAATAAGGACAAAAATGTCATTATTATTTTTAACTACCAAATATTATTAAAATATTATTATTTCTTTAACACCGCACCAAAAGTAAATGCTTACGTGAACAGAGGGAGTATTATAATTCTAGTATTTTTTTCTTTACCCGAAGTTATTGTACTAAAGATAATCGAAAAAGACGACGTCAAATTAGTAGTAATAAATTAGTCGTAATAAATTTGAATAGTAAAAATTTTGAATTTAAATAGTTGTATGATGTGATATAAATAGGTGTTGATGTGATGTTTTGAATGTAAAATTGATTTTTAGTATAATATAAAAAATAAAAAATAGGTGTTTAATTTGATGTTTTTTGGGAAAAAAAATTGGATGAATAGCGTAAATCCAATCCAATCCCCAAACAAACACACCCATAAAAGTATATCATGTAGTTTATTAGAGCATGTGTTGTATTATTAGTTCGTATGTTGTATTTATATTATATTAATATAAAGACAAAAATGTACAAAACCGAGAGGTGGTTTCACCAAATCTCTTATTATTTCAAAACAGTATAATCAGATTCCCTCGTAACTTCATAAATTCTTTATATAATTGATAACTATTGATTTTGACGTATTTTATCATTTATAATTAATTAATTATTTATTTATGTCGATTTTTTATATTTTTTATATTAATTTATTCTAATAATTGTATTTATTGCATATTGTTTGTACAATATTTATTTATTAGTTTTTAGGTGTATTTTATAATTATTTTGGTGTATAAATAATTTAATTGATGTGTTTATTGAATTATATTTTTAGATATTATTTACGTATTTTTTAAGTATTTATAATTTTGGTTAATTAATATTTATAAGTTGGTATGTTTATGTAAAATTTTTTTTTATTGAGTGTTTATTTTTTCTTAAGGTAAATTAATGCCTCAAAACTGTTATGAGAATCCAAATTTGGTATCGAGAGGTGAAAATGGCTTCTAGAGCCAAAAACATCTGCTAGCAAAAAGTTAACTAAAAATTTCAACACAATTGACAGAAATGTGAGCCTATGTTTATTTTTCGGCAGCATTTGTGTTTGTTTGGAGATTTGGATTTTGAGTTGGGATTTGAACAGTAAAAATTTTGAATTTGAATAGCTGTATGATGTTATATAAATAGGTGTTGATGTGATATTTTGAATGTAAAATTGATTTTTAGTATAATATAAAAAATGAAAAATAGGTGTTTGATTTGATATTTTTGGGGAAAAAAAATTGAATGAATAGTGAAAAAAAATTTCAATCCCTCAGTCAAACACACCCTATTTATTCTCCTTTGTTAAATCGGTACTCCGTAGCTGCAATTACATTCCTTCCAGCTATACCATTTATTATCCCAGTGTATTTTTATTCGACGACCTTTTAGAAGATAGGTAATTATCGCTAAATTAAAAATAATGATTTTAAAGGTAATTATTTATGGGTGATTGTTGCTAAGCTCTCTTGCTCATCATTTTGTACACTCAAAATATTCAATTTTTCTTTCGAGCAGTGGCTGTGGGTTCCCGCATCATAAAAAAAAAAAAAACACTCGATTTCCTCCATTTCTTCCCTTTCACATTTTTATCCAGTTTAATAATACGAGAATTTCAACTTTGATTCATAAACAAACTTCTTTTCTCTCTCCCTCCCTTTTTTTTTCCCTTTTAATTCCTTAATCTAGAGTATAATTTTATATCATGTTTTTCATTTCACTGTTACCCAAAATTTTCATGTTCACGCTTGAATAATTTAAGTTAAATTTTCTACAAATGTTGTTGAAGGGCAATAAAAGGGCAACTATTCATGCTTATGCTTATGATTGTGTTGTATTCATTAACATAGATGATGAGGTGGTTTGTAGCATCTAATGCGCAGGAACTTTGTTGACTTTTTTATTTGTGACCCAAATTTAATCCCAATGAAAGGGAAGTATCAAAAAGGTAGAATCACTAATGAAAAGGTTGGGATAATGATTTATTGGACATATGTGCTTGCCTATCGGGATGACAACGAATTTTCTTTTAATTAATGTTTTTCGTCAAGTGTCACCGAAGGTTCATTGTAAATCTCATAAGATCAAGTATATCAACCAAGTCAAGAGTTGGACTTATGCGAAAAAGTATGATCATTCTTGTTCCTCCGAACCGTCCTGCAATTCTATATGTATTATTCGCTAGCACACCATTGTCATCCCGTTCATTTTATCCATAAAAAAATCTAGCTATTAACAAACACACAAGTGAGATACAAATACTTCCTTCCATCTTCTCCTATATACATATATTTTATAGTTGTTTAAGTTAGATTTAATTTATGCGAATTTACTTCATAAGTTCATTGCATTTTTCTTAATTAAATATAAAATTCGACCCGAACATTCACCGGTCAAAGTGATTATCAAACACCGAGTCAAACTATAAATGGATTCTTGAGTCACATATGTCTATTATTAATAAATTTGTACAACCACACTCTAAATTTGAATAGGAAAGTCACACAAGGTAAATCTGATACTTCATTGAACACAAAAACACTAGCAGAGCATTTGTAATTGCAATTTTGCTCATGCCGTTATAACATTTAATTTTCACATTTTGTTATGCCATAAACAGAAATAAATAACTAAAAAAAATAAAATAATAAAAATAAAAATAAAAATACAGACCTTTGAGAATAATAGCTTCAACCATTTCCAAGATACTGGTTGTATTTATGCTGAAGCTACCATTATCCTCCCCTTTGTTGTTATTATTCGATATGGCGCTGACAACACATCAAATATAAATAGGCAGTGAATGAACTATAAATCAACAACAGTAGTTTTTCTAAAAAATATCACCTCAAATGCTTATATTTTCAATTTTTTTCAAAATTCCAAAACTTTCAAAATTTATATCTAAACGAAAACGTTGTTTTTAAGCGCACTGCACAGAAAATTACCTCGCAACGGTTGAACTGATCGATCCTTCAGCCTTGGCGCAGCTGCAGTATTCCTCGAACATTTTGTGTCGAGCAGCTTCACCGAGATCTTTACTGAAACTCATGAAGAAGGACAGTCAAGGACCAATAATAAGCTCCTTCAATGAAGCGATAGGCGAACTGAGTCCATGAGCTTCCATATCTTTCCAGAACGCCATTCCTGAGACATCACGAATTCATTCATTAAAGTAAAATTGTACAAACAATGGCGTGAACGAAGGAACAGATAAACATTATAAGTACCTATCCAGGCAAGAAAAGCGACAGTTGAAGCCCAAAAGAACTCTTTACTGATACAGTTGAAGCTATAGCCACAGCAGACAAAAAATGAGAAACAGAGCAAACCAACCAAAATTTTACACAATGATCGTAAATTACCAGTACAAGCATACGAGATTTCCCCATCCGTAGAAGAAGGATACCCAATTCGATCCGGCAAACCTACAAAAGACTCATAGTTAATTCCTATCACAAAATATCTTACAAACGGAGGAAGGAAAAACTAACCAACCACATTAAATCGCGAATGAACAGAGAGCGTGGGATAAAAAGTCCATTGCCAATCAAGGCCAGCAGCATCGAGACAGCTGATAAACCTTTTATATTTTCGGGATTCATGAGATTTGTCCACTGAAAAATCAAGAATAAATCTCAATTGTTGGAAATTATCGACAAACCACAATGAGAGTAACATTAACATATCTTTGAAGATGAGAAAGGTCACCATTTGAGCAACAGACATCCACATTAAAAGAAGAGTGGCAGTCCATCCCGACACCATTCCAAGAAACTTCACAAATTTCTCGGAGAGCTTACCCATACGATGCTGAAAAAGTTACAAATAATAACAAATATTTTCGATTTGAGCAACTATTTCCCCCAATTAGCAATCAGCTGTGTAATGCTCACCATAACAACAGCAAGAAGAGCAGTAGCAAATGAGATTATCGAAGGTAAGACAGTGTTAGGGACGTAGGGGACGAAAGTCGACCACATGACCTGAACAAGAACAGTGCACATGAAAAACCATCGAAAGAATTGTTCTACAACAAAACCACATTTCGAATACAAAATTTTACTTGAGGAAGTGTGGAGAATCCGATTACTGTAACAGCATCTTCCCAAATGAGCCAGATTTCCTCATCAAGCAGACCAAAATATTTCAGAAAATTTAGAATGAGACCAAATGTAACCATTACAGAAACAACAATGAACTGAAGAAGAGGCATAGCTTCTGCCATGGCGAGCTGCAGCAAAACGATATATCTAGAAATGACTCCCACAGTCTGCACCGCCATTGTTTCGATCTCCATCTTATTGAGAAAGTACAACGACAAAGAGAGATTCGCAATCAATCCAGTGAGCACGCCCTAGGTTAAAATTGCGCGATTCAGCCCTAGGTAAAAGCAAATACCTAATTAATAACAAAGGTATTGAGCTCCATTACCAGCCAAGGAACGGCGAGAAGCGCAGACTTGTTCCCTGCCAGAAGATTCCGAGCATTCAATACGATCTGCGGCAGCTGCATCAATAAAATCGGTAGATTCGCAGCTCCGGAAAACTTCGCCGTCATCGAGTTCCATTGCTCGAAAGTTTCGCCTCTTCGAGAACGCGCTGGCTCCTTCATTGTATTTTTATCATCGATTGATTAGCAATGGTAACTGCACCAATATTTTAGTGGACGATTAAGAGCTGAAATTATTGTTCGAACTTGAAGTTACCTGACTGATGGAATTGGCATCTTCTGAGGTTAGACATGAAAATGTTTTGAACGCCTCCTTCGAGTGAGGTTTGCCAGCTATGGCGAAGCTTCGTCTCAAATTTATATGAGAAGAGGATGCCAATGCCAACTGCTGAGTGAAAGAGAAGGTGTTTGATATTCGACAAGGAGATGGAGGCAACCAACAACCCAAGAGCGACAAAGAATCCACCATTGGAGAAGTAAGATTCAGCAAGATTCAGGACATTCAGCTATTTATTGACCCCCCTCTGTTAGATACGCATTTTATCCATAATTAAAGTCCATCTCTCATTATTATCATTATTACATGCGACACCTTTTCCGGTCTTTCCTCGTAACTTAGGCATTTTTATTTGGAATAAAATTTACTAAATTAAAATACACTTAATAAGTTTAATTAACTATAATAAAAAAAAATTTATTTTTATTTTAATTTTATTTATCTTTTCAAAACAATAAATATTTTTATTTATATATTAAAAATTTCTATCACTTTTATAAATTAATTTATCTTAATTATAATAAATAAAAATATTTTTTAATATTTTTTATTACAATATAATTTTTAAAATATTTAAATATATATTTTAATTTTTTTTATCATATATATTAAATTTATTTTAAGATTATTAATATTACTCTATTCGTTCTATAATTAAATTTTTATTTGTTTTTAAAAATATTAGTATTATATTTGGATGTAGTATGAATAAAGTAGAAATGACTAAAATAACGTATTAGTACGCGTGATATAAAGGAAATGACATTTGTGTAAGTATTTATAATATTACGTAAATAGTACCGTTAGTAAAAAAAGAAATGGATAATGGAATAAATTAAAATAAAAAAAAATAGATAATTTGTTATATTAATTATATAAAAAAAATAATATCATAATTTTATTATTATTAACTAATTAAATATTATTTTTTTAAATAGCACGTGACAAATAAAATAGGTCAGTATCTTGAAATGAAAAGTGTATTATTTTTTATTATTTGTTGACTGATAAAATGCAAGACCGAAAATGAGTAACTACTTGTATTGAAGTGAATGTAAAGGTATGTTGAGAAGAAAGGAAAGATTTGCAGATGGATGCATGTTAGTTATTTTGGTATAATCGAGAATTATTCTCAAGCCCCGGGATGCGATGTCCTCCATCTTAATACAAATAATTTCCGGTTTTTTGGCCTTCCTGCTGCTGCATCTCAGTTCACGTAAATTCAGCACATGATGTGCATTAAATAGGAGAATCCTTTTCGATTTAATAATCATCGAATATGAAATTCAAACAAAAAAAGAAAAGAAAAGAAGTTGATATATAGATGTTCTGTATCACATTGTATCTGGTAAGCATAAGCATAACGATAATCTAAAAAGTAAAAGCAACATTCTATGACCGCACAATGATCTGCACATGTTTATGGTTCAGTCTCATATCTCGCTGCAACTGATATATGGATAGACGGGAACATTGTATTATTTCCAAACGTTCCAAAGGTATATATGGACACTCGTCCATATCAATTTCCCGAAGGTTGTCTAGGTTTGCAAGGCAGAGGACTTTGAGACGCCAAAAACCACGACCAAATCTCATAATATCATCCCTGTAGTACTGTGTACGAACCAGTTGCAGGTGTAACAAATTTGGTATCATCCCCAGCATTGGCATCGGGTCTTCATTGAATTCACTATCGAAGAAGCTCAAGCTGGAAAGACTCGCCGGAAATTGAGGCAACGACAGTTCTACTCCTTTAATGATAACAAGTTTAGTTAGCTGCTGCAAGTTAAGAATCCATTCCAAGGAATATTCAAATGCTAACTCCATAGAAACAAGATCCGTCAACTCGAACAACAAGTTGAAGAGCTCGCTGGCATTATCACCCCTCAACAACTCCAACCCCAGTTCGCGTAGACTTGTCAATTTCGCAAGATGCTCAACCACAATGTCTTTAGTCGAAACAAAAGCAAGGGTCTGAAGATTCTTCAGCGTGTCCAATCTCAAAGGCTTCTTGCAACTGATGTTTCTTGGCATGTAAAGATGCCGCAAGCTATCCAATTTCCATAATATATTTGGGATTTTCATTCTTTTGTTTATGGACAAATCGAGCGTTTGAAGGTGTCCAAGCTGGCCTAAGGATTCCGGGAGCTTTTGTATTCTGTTGTTGCACAGTCCGAGGTACGTCAATCCAATCAGCCTGCCAATATTCTCAGGTATAGTTTTCAATCCTAAGCCTCCAAGATCAAGTACCTGAAGATCATCTCCAAGCCTCTCCCAAAAACTCGGTGGAATTTCATTATCACTTTTCCAATCAAACGGTGCAATATCTTTCAAAAAGATCCATAAACACAGTGGCATATTCTTTGTAATGAAAACAGGATAATCCATAGGAGCGTCCCGCAGGAAAAGCGAGCGAAGGTGTGGAATTGGAGTAGTGCTTAGTGACATCAAGCTCTCATTGTTGCTGTTGATGACAAGATGGCGGACTTTATCCAAAGATTGATTGGAACAAGTCTCATTGTTTATCATGTCAAATCTTTCTTCTTTCGCTATTCTGATGGATAGATCATGAAGAAGATCATGCATTTGGTAGAAAAGAACTTGACCATCGTAGGATAATTTTGAGGCAGAAACCATATTTCGGTTTTTCAGATCCTGTAAGCAGCTCCTTGCTCTCTCCTCCATTGTCAGATTTTCTTCCTGTGCAAAAATGCCTTGTGCAACCAATAGTTTTATCAATGTTCGTGCATCGATCGAAGAACCTTCCTCGAAAATACTCATGTGTAAGAAACAGGACTTGAGTTGCAGAGGCAAATCCCAGTAACTCAAATTCAAAATTATATCAACAATATCTTTCGAAGATTCCTGTAGTGTAATTTCTTCCAAAATTCTTTTCCACCCACTCACAGATTGTTTTTGCTGCAACAGTAAGCCTGCAATCAAAGTGATTGCTAATGGCACACCATGACACTTCTCCACAATTTGGTGTCCTATTTCCTCCAGCTCATAAGGACATTTACCATCATGCTTTTCTCTGAAAGCTGACTTCATGAATAATTGCCAACTTTCATCGGGACTGAGGCCGTTCAATTGGTGGACATAATCAACATTCTTTGAATTTTCAGGAACATGTCGACTTGTCATCAACAATATTCTTGCCGGACCTGTTTCTGAAATGCATAAAATTTTACTGTGTCAATCCATTTAACTTCATCCTAATAATACTAATAGCAATAAAGACAGGAATGACAAAACGATATTAGAGACAACAATTATGACGCATACAATGAGGGCTGATGGAGTGTTCTAAATAGTCATTTGAAACTAATTCCATTGTTAAACTAATCAATGAAGTTCAGCTTTAAAGACTTTGTATCTATCTATCTGTTAAAGGTTTGTAGAGTGGTAAAGATAGCATATTAGAAATCAATCAATAACTAATAGAGAAGCACTAACCATTAGCTTCATCTGGAAATATTCTCGTGAAGCATCCCCAATCTATATGTTCTGGAATATTGTCGATTACTATGAAACAATTATTTCCCCGCAAGATTCGACGAACTTCATCCTCTAAATCATGTGAATCGGTCTGACTACGTTGCAATTGCCAGATCAGCTTCCTTAGCAGTTCATTATAGCTGAAGTCACGCGACAAAGTAACCCATGCTCGGTAACCCTGATTGAACTGATGATGATTGTACAGTTTTCGGGCTAGCGTTGTCTTTCCAACACCACCCCTCCCTACAATGCAACTTGTGGAAAGGCTTTCTCCTCCATACTTGAAAATTTCTCTGAGTAGAATATCAAAATCTTCTTCCAAGCCTTCCATGGTTTCGTCTAGTTTAAGTTGCGCTGTAGGCATGCCGGCTCCCTGATCAACGCCAAATTCATATGTATCTGTCGAAACCTCATTAAACTTCAAATCCAATTTCATACGTCTTTCAGCGATGATGTTGAGCCTTTTGTGGATGGATTTGATCTCCTGGCCCACTTGGTACATATGGTATGCATGCTTCGGAAATGAAGCACAATGGCTCACAAGTTGTTGTCGCCTCCTTGGAGTGTCGACTTTGAGATCCAGAGTGTCAGATGCTACCTCTCTAATGTCGGAGATCCACTTGCGTATCTCCTCATTCTCTGCTTGCTTTTCAGCTGCATCTTTTATGAAAGGTACTATTGCCAAGAGCTCATCTTTCAGATATTTTGCCCGTGCGTCGATGTGCAGCAGGGATGACAGCTTGTTGATTGCCAGAGAGTCTAGCTTCTCCACGGCACGTGAGATGGCTGCCTCCACCACACCTGGTCCCAATTTACTTTCAATCAGTAATGTAATATATCAAGAGATAAGCTACAAAAGTTTATATTTTCTATCACAAAATCATTTCAGTTAAAAGTATTCGAAATTAGCATTACCTTTGAGCTTGGATGCAATTATGCTTGTCCCTGATATCTTTAAATTTTGGAGATTAGCCTTTATTCGTTGATCTTCATCTTCAGGAAGAATCCTTAGATCTCCACAGTCTCTTATTTTCAATTCTTCGAGCATTAGCAATCCTTCCGTTTCTACAAATATTTGTCTCAAATTCGAGAGGCCCACAAGGCTGAGGATTTTGAGCCCAGGAAATCCTTTATTCACAATAACCATCTCTTCACCAACAAATGAATCCGAAAATAGTTTGAGGCACGATAGATCTTGTAGCCTCCCGAGTATTGGCATCGGATCCTCACTGAGATTTGTACTAGACAATTTCAAGCTGCAAAGCTTCAGCGGAAAACTTCGGGGGAACTCTGCTAGTTTTCCAAATATTTGAAGTAGTTTAAGATGTTGCAACTTACTAATCCCATCCAAAGACAAGGCATGCCCAAGTCTCCACGATAACGCCAAAGAAGCCAAATTTTCTAACTTAGCCAATGTGGAAAGGAGTTTGCTAACATCGACATCTCCAGCTAGCTCTATTTTCAATTCTTGTAGACTCACCAATTCTCCAAGATGTTCCAAAGAAATGTTTTTGGATGAAACATTCCATAGAGTTTGAAGATCTTTCAGTGTGTCTAACTTCAATGGTTCCTCCTTACAAATGATTTCCTGAGGCATGTAAAGATGACGCAGGCTACGCATCTTCCATAGAACATTTGGAACGATCATATTCCTATTTCCAGATATATCAAGTGTTTGGAGATGGCCAAGGCAACCTAACCATCCTGGAAGCTTTTGGATTTGGTTCTTGCACAATCCAAGGTATTTCAATCCAAGTGTAGAGCTAATTTTCTTAGGCACTGTTGTCAGTCCTAAGCCTCCAAGTTCGACTACCCTAACGCAATCCCCAATCCTTTCCCAAAAACTCGGTGAAACACAATTATCACCCCATGAGGATGCTTGCAAGAAAAGTGAACGAAGGTGAGGAATTGAACTCTTCGAGGACATGAAACTTTTGTTGTTGCAGTGGATGGAAAGATGGCGAGGTTTATCCAAGGACTGATTCGAAGTATTTTCAGCGTTCAAGATGACATCAAAATTGATTTCTTCCTTTGCTTTTTTGAAGGATAGTTCCCAAAGAAGATCGTGAACTTGGCAAGATTTAACTTGATCATCTTTGGTTAATTTGATAGCTTGGACCATGTTCCGGTTCATAAGCTCATTCAAGTAGCTCTTTGCTATGTCTTCCATGGTTTCCTTTCCCTTTCCTTGTGAAATGATGCCTTCAGCGATCCACAACCGTACCAATGTTCGAGCATCAATAAGAGCATCTTCCTTGAAAAAGCTTAGGCACAAGAAGCAAGACTTGAGGCGCGGAGGCAAGTCCCAATAGCTCAACTCTAAGACTGAACTCACACTATCCTGCCCAGTTTCCAAATGAGATTCGATGTCTTTCCATGCTCTCACAGACTCTCCTTGCTCCAACAATAGGCCCGCCATTACAGTGATCGCCAATGGTAAACCATGGCACTTTTCTACTATTGTTCTTCCAATATTTTCCAATTCCTGTGGACATTTGCTTGCTTTCTGGAATAATTCCCAACTTTCATCACCGTCTAAGCCAATTAACCTGTGGACATAACCTGGACTTGGATTCATGATGTTGGAAGTGCGGCTTGTCATTAACAATATGCTTCGTTTATCTGTCAACATGGCATGTTCATCACATTAGTGTCAAGATTTTATAATATAATCCCAAAGATTAATTGATATTCTTTTTTCTGAAAAATATAAGCAAACTTTTGCTATGCTCTCCCGACACTAATTTTCAATCGTGATTTTCCAATAATAATAATAATAACACAAAATATTTTACACAAAAAGTCAAAAAGTCATTACAGAAAAACAAATATTCAACCTAAAATAATATATAGTATATTTTTGACATAATTTCCCATACTACACAATAGAACTCATTTCATCCAAAAATGCTGCGTGAACAGAGCCTTCAAGTTTTCATGTTTTATTAAAAGAATATATATGTGGTCTTTAATTTTTCAACTTTTATTTGTCAATGTAATATCTAGTCAATTATTGTACATAAATTTTAGGATAAATATAAGGATTTCTCCATAACCTCAAGATCGAAGAAACAAAATGTTTCACAAAGAAACAATATTAAACAAAATGATCCTAAATATATAGGATAGGTACATTAAACAATATTCTATTTTTACAACAAATCAATCATAATTATCTAATCATATCCTAAAATTATCACAAATCAATCCTAAAATTTATGTACAATAATGGACTAGATATTATATTGACATTATTAAGTAAATCACAACCGTGATATTTTGTTGGTAATTTTAGGATAATTTGGTTTTATTTGAAGCTGATGTATAATGAGACTAACCAAACACCAGGATGAGGATGCATGAAGTGCGTGTTTGGTGAAACTAGTATCAATGTTGTAACTTACAAAAACATATAATAAAAGAATGGACCAATTCTAGAAAAGTACATGCCGCCAAACTTGAGAGAGGTGACACATTCCAAAAAGGTCTATCATTTGTTGAATCCTTGTATCTATTTAATTTTAAATTCAAATTTCGTACTTAAGAATAAAAGTATGCAACTCTTATTCCAAAATAGAACTTTCTTTTGAAATTTCAATTCAAAATTGAAACTTGAATTGAACCTCCAAGTTTTTTAAGCATCTTACTATGTATCCAAAATTCTTGATACATGTGGCAAGACATATGGTGGAATTATCATATTTAGAGAGCATGGTCAATGTTATTCAAAGAACTATCCATTTATTATCATGGTTACCTTACAAAACACTATCCTCACAATCAAATATCGTAATTAACTAACTATCCTGGCGAGTGAGACATTGAGTGACATGCCAACTAAGTTTGAAAAGATGAAGGAGGTGGATTTTCGAAGATTGCAAAATAAAATGCGTTTTCTTCGCACCACTTTGAAGGATTTGTAGAATATCGTCCTAAAAGGATGAAAGATGAAACCTGGGAGGTTGCACACTTTAGGAGCAAATAGGAAAACGATGACTACATTTTCCGTCGCCATATCTTCAATGCAATGCCGGATATTTTATTTGACATCTACAAGAATCTTGGATTTGCAAGAAAACTTTGGGAAGTACTGGAATCCAAATACATATTCGTAGTGATTTCAACAATCATAAATGACTTATGCTCATCTTAAGATGCAACACCACAATAAGTTGATAATGATTTTGGGGTAATTCAAAGATAGATGAATCTATATTTGTGTCCTCCATTATTGACAAACAAGTCGCAATCGTGTATGTTAACTGTTGAGATATTTTAGATATTCAGTTTTAGATTTAGTAGATTTATATCTAGATTTGATCTTATTCATAGATTAGATTAGTTAGATTTGAGTCTATCGAGTCTGTTTTGTATTGCCTATATATAGACTCCTTATTTTGATAATCAATAACACAATCTTATTATTTTCCCTCAAAATTTCTAACATGGTATCAGAGCTTATTTTTCTTATGCCGTAGATATAGCCTACCAACCTGTGTTTCTCCGAGTACATTGAACCTGGATTGTACCCGGAGGTCTTGTGATTTTGAAATCATGCATTTGCAAGTATGTCTTTCTGCAAATCTGTCTCGTCTACGATCTGTCATCCGCTGCTTGTCTGTTCTTGGCGTACAATCAGAAACCTGTCTGTCTGCGATCTGCCATCTTTCATTGCTTATTTGTTGCCGGAAATCTGTCTATGATCTGCCATCTGTCTGTTGTTTGTTCATTGCCTGCGTGAGATTTGATTTGTCCAATGTTTGCGATTTGTCTGTTTTCGGCTCCGGTGGTCATATGGTTTTCGACTCCGGTGGAGAGTCATCTCGTTTTCGGCTCTAGTGGAGCGTCATCTCGTTTTTTGGCTCCGGTGGAGTTATCTCATTTTCGGCTCCGGTGGAGCGTCATCTCGTTTTCAGCTCAAGTGGAGTCGTGTCATTTTCGGCTCTGGCGGAGTCATGTTGTTTTCGGCTCCGGTGGAGTCATGTCGTTTTAGGCTCCGGTGGAGTCATCTCATTTTCTGCTCCGGTGGAGTCATCTCGTTTTTTGCTCCGTGGTGGAAAGTCATCTCGTTTTCGGCTCCAGTAGAGTCATGTCGTTTTCGACGGCTCCGGTGGAGTCATGTCGTTTTCGGCTCGGGTGGAGTCATCTCATTTTCGGCTCCGGTGGAGTCATGTCGTTTTCAGCTCCAGTGGAGTCATGTCTTTTTAGGCTCCGGTGGAGTCATCTCGTTTTCGGCTCCAGTGGAGTCATGTGGTTTTCGGCTCCCGTTGAGAGTCATCTCATGTTCGGCTTCGGTGGAGTCATGTCGTTTTCGACTCTGGTGGAGAGTTATCTCATTTTTTTGCTCCGGTGGATGGAGAGTCAACTGCTAATTTTAATTATGTTTTCTTTTTTGCGTTTATATTCAAATTTCTTATCAAACTCAAGTTGGTTTCTGTTATACCATTTGAATTTGAGGGGGGATGTTGAGATATTTTAGATATTCAGTTTTAGATTTAGTAGATTTATATCTAGATTTGATCTTATTCATAGATTAGATTAGTTAGATTTGAGTCTATCGAGTATGTTTTGTATTGCCTATATATAGGCTCCTTATTTTGATAATCAATAACACAATCTTATTATTTTGCCCAAAAATTTCTAACAAATGTCACCATCCAACTTTTCAAAGAATTTACTAGACAATTGAAATCTTCAATTAGTTAATAGTGATTTGGGTGGTTATGATACCTCCGGAGTTGGGCCGTTGCTTGGCCAACTTTCGTGTGTACATGAGCCGGTATTAGGTCATTCAAAATTGATTAGAGATTAAATGGATTGAATAGACTACTCATGTCAACAATCCCGACATGCTTGGCTTGGCATGGCTTGTGGGCCGGGGTGTCACAGTTGGTATCAGAGCCAACCTGCAACAGGCCACAATCGTTGACCTGACTATGGAGGGGTCTAGCAGTTGACGATCCTTGGGGTGCAACGTGGACGTTGCATTCTAAAGTGAGGAAGGTTGTGACACCCCCAGAGTTGGGCCCTTTCTTGGCCAACTTCCGTGTGTGAATGATCCGGTATTAGGTCATCCAAAATTGATTAAAGGTTAAATAGATTGAATAGACTACTCATGTCAACATCCTTTTCGGAAGCCTTACTGAAAAAACTCTAGAGTTAAGAGTGTTTGCCCTAGAGTAATTTAAGAATGAGTGACCCCCAGGGAAGCCTCTGGGTGCGCGTGAATAAGGATAGAAATGACTCGTGTTGACCTATGAGACCAATCTACAATCCCGACATACTTGGCTTTGTATGGCTTGCGGGCCGAAGTGTCACAGTGGTTTTCATTCAACACCTTGTTCGGATACATTCAAGATCTATAAAATAGAAATTTAATTACAAATTGGCATTGTAGTAAAAATACTGCACATTGATAGAGATGGAAAATAAACATTATGACCCTTTGTTCTTTCAATCTATAGGAATCATTCTTATACTATGGCCCCTTAAAAACTATAACAAAATGGTGTGGTTGGATGTTCTATGCTAACTTAGACTTTTTTGGAAGGATCCATGTTAATGGCTTGTTATTTATTGAATAGGGTTTCTAACCAAAAGAACAAGACTGCTCCCTATAATTATAGTACAACAGACGACTCAACTTGTCATATTTAAGGTGTGGAGTTGTAGGACAGTCGATAGGGTTTCTGAACCTAAAAGAAACACATTAGATGAAAAGAGAATCCATTGCATATTCATCGGATAAACCAAGCATTGTAAGACCTATTAGTTCTATGTTATAGAACTCAATGACTATGTGTTTATACACGCCACATATCATTGGATGGCATGATGCTATCTTTGATGAGGCACACTTCACATTGATATCTAGACTGTCTACTAAAGTTTAATCCACTAGGTATATGATGACCATGAGGGCAATGACCACTACCTTTAGATGTCACTTTAGAAAATGGATAGGAAAAAAGTCAAGATGTTTATAAAAGCACTTAATCAATTGAGCTTCATAGATGCAAAAAGGACAAGAAAATCTACGTCATTTGGTCCCAATTTTTAGTAATATCTACTTTAAGGATTGAGACATAAGATTGGATCTCTACATTATTAGTATTATAATTTTGGAGATGATACAAGGATGTTTGAAGAAGAATTGAGATATCATGATGTTCCTTATTGAAAGGTGCGATCAATGATGAGATGTTCTATTTTGGAGAATAGCACTTGAGTGTTGTCATATTTGCCTCATAGGATGTACGCCTTTGGTTAAAATATGAATTTTTAAGATGAAAAATAAATTTGATTGAACTATCGACAAGTTCAAAGTTCAAACTTGCTTCTATTATACTTACAAAAATCAGGTTGAGCGAGTCTAAATAAATTTAGATGGCCATGAATAACTGGCTATAACAATTAGCACTCTTAAGACAAGCTAATAACTCATACAGTGGTGGATTTTGATAGAGTGAGCCATGGTGGGGATAAATGAATTTTTTTTCAATTCAACCCTAATTTAAGGTGGTGCAAGAGCCAATCCAACTAAGTTATTTTGACAACTTTAAACGCAATTTCAAAATAATTTTATGCTATTTTGTACAAAAAATTTCATACTTTTCAAAGTCTTTAATCTTATGTAAAATCAAAATATTAATTTTCAAACTGCCTCGAACAAAAATATTCAAACCCGACGCCTCCCTACACATGGTTCGTCTAGTGTGACTTTTATGTCGGACCTAGTTTGCAGGGTATTAGGTTCAGCGGGTTTACCCAATGCGCCTTTTTGGGTAGCGGTTGCGAGTTCCCACGTTATAAAAAAAAAAAGCAACTCCTAATTATCCTTTTCTTCCGCCTTTGATTTTAGAGACTTCTTTGTATAGTTCCCGTCCCTCTGTATTTATTCCTTCTCTTTTTTGTAATTGATATAATCAAAAGGCTCTTCTTACCACGGAATTTATGAATCTAGTACCTACCAAACTAACTATTACTCAAACTATCATTCGAACCATGAAGGGATAGGGCGAGCCAACCGGACGAGCAAGTCATTTTGACTATGACCAATTGTATATTAGTTAGTTATAATATTTATGCTTAGAAAAGGTCATGTTTGTAAAACCAATAATCATTATTTTATCATATATAGAAAAAGACTAATAGAAGCATTAAATTGAATCTATAAAAAATATTATAATATTTACTTTTAGAAAGAATAAGATTTTAAAATATTTAAGAATATTATCATTAAATGAATGTAGTAAGGCCAATGATAAATTAAAATCTAAAACTATGAATTGAAGTAACTTCAATAATAATAATAAGCAAGGTCAATTTTTTTAAATAATAACACATACAAAGTAGTCCCACTATTAAAACATGCAAAAAGGAGAGAGAAATTGATCATTGAAAGTGAAAATTGGGACAAGATTTTGGAAAGACTCAAAGAACATATAAGATAGATGTTCTTTGATAAGATAGATATTCTTTGATGTTTTGCTATTATTCATCAATAGTAACATTTTTAGAAAAACATCACATTAAATATATTTTTATTTTCATAAAAATCTTATAAAGTAAATTTTTGAAAACTTCAAAAGACTTTAAAACTTTCAAAAACTTGTATCTAATCGGAGCCATGCATTCCCTTTGGAAGTCGCATGCAATAAATAATTTTAAATGGATAACTTAAAGTAGATAACTAATACATACCTTGATTGGGAAGAACATCGCATATGTATTGCCAATGTTGTTGTTCCCACACATCGTCCAACACTATCAAGTATGGTTTCCCCCTCAGCTCTTCTTGCAACTCTCTCTCCAAGAACATCTCTGATGGATCCGTCATACTTGTCTGAAACAACAAATCCTCCATCTTTGTTTCTTCGATTTCGCGAGGTCTCAACTGCCTCACCATCTCCTTCAACACTTCCTTCGCATTGAAGCTACGAGACACGATCACCCAAGCTCGCCTCTCGAATTCCTTCCTCACTCTCTCATGGTTGTACACTTTCTTTGCGAGTGTCGACTTCCCCACACCGCCCATCCCAACAATGCTGGCAATGGAAAGTCCCGTCTTGTCGGCAAGAATTGCCTTTTGGAGTAGGGTTTCAACATGGCCTTCAAACCCTACCACAATTTTGTCTGCTTGCCAAGGAGACACGCGACGCTTCCTCTCAACCCCCTCCGACCAGGCCATCCCTGCAGCCTCGTCGAGACTTCTGATCCCAAACCTCGCACGTCTTTCATCAATTTCTTTGAGCTTTTTTAGGATTGCCTCGATCTCTTGGCGCAGCCTATCCAGGTGGTACAGATGCTCCGGAAGGCAGACACACCTGGTGAACAGACCCCCTTTGGTCTCGGCCTGTAGTGAGAAAGTGTCGATGGCATCTTCAGCATCATAAGCCACCTGTCTGATGTCGGATATCCATTGACGCACACTGCTGTCCTTGGTCTGCCTTTCTGCAGCGTCTTTGAGGAAACATTGCATTGCTCGGAGCTCATCCTTCAGCTGTGTCACCTGCGACCCAACGTTTCGCAGGGAAGACACCTTCTCGATGGCAAGATTGCCAAGCTTCTCCACAACGAATGAGAGTGCTGCTTCCGCCATTGTCGTCCTAATACTTTCTTTGTCGACCAATGCATAATTATGGTAAATGGTAAATGTTTGTTTTTAGAGTGAAGAATAAAGGAGAAAGAATGTGAACTCATTTAGCATAATTAAACTAGTAGGCAGTTGTTCGAAGTTGTCCAAAGTATTATTACAAACTTGAGATTATTATATTATTTAGGGATATACTTAACCTCTTAATTAAGTGTATTCTCATGCCATTATTCTTTTCGTGTGATGATGATATTGGCCTAAGATACTCATTAGAACTGTAATACAAAAGTCTGAACAATGTGTGGACCTTGACAAAAAAGATGAAGCGAAACCTCGATCTGTGGAAACTGCTAATTGCTGAAGCATCTCAGTTACGATATAGAGATTGGAAATAGCCATACTACATTTTCCATAATCCTATTACCAAATCTTGTGGACCTATTCTTTTTTATTTCATAATTTTGTTTATACTCAAAATTAGACTACTCGTTTGTCGATAAATAATTAATGACTGTGTTTTCCTAACATTTTGAATTTTTAGATGAGACGGTCATTTTGCATCTGACATGGTACTCAAGACCTACCGTCACATTTGCGGCATATGTATATACAAATTTCGGATACCTCCATAATAGACATCAAAATTTGAAAATATAAACAATAAATATTAATCCTTAATAGAAAAGAAGTACATGTAGCAAAGCATATTACAAGTACATATATAAATATTTTCAAAATATCAAGCAATCAATTTAATATTCAACTTCAAAGTCTTCATCCTTATCTAACATTGCGAGAGGACAATTTTTTTATACATTGTCGAGGTTGTAGCACCTAATTTAAACTATATAAATATATGTATTATTATAATATATGTTCTACTCTATAACCAATGTGAGCATGCCTTAACACAATAAGACTTAACCAATTTTCCACTAATGCTAAATCTAGATTCACAACAACAGTTGAAATAGGAATAAACCTTTGGGATGAGGACTAACTAATCTCCGCTAGTATTAGATTTCAATTAAAAAATGTTAGAACATGAAACTGAAATTCTCGGTTTCAATCATAAGGATCCGTACATATTTATAGTGATAGGACAACTAGTATAAATATAATATATTGCTTCTAAATATATTTTAACATCTCTCCTTAAGTTCAAGATATGATCGAACAAACTTGAATTTGTCAGAAGTGACCTAAAATAATATAGCCGAGATCTTTTACGTACGAATTTGAATTTGCCAAGATTGACTGAAAGTGGTATAACCGTCTACTGTATCAGAGTCAAAAGCAAAACTCTCAACCATTAGAGTTGGAAACAGGACTCGCTCGCTCACAATGGAACTAGAGTCGAAAACAGAAGTCACTCACTCTTAATAGAGCTAGAGTCGAAAACAGGATTCGCTCGTTCACAACAGAGCTAGAGTCGGAAATATGACTCCCTCGCTTCCAATAGAGTTAGAGTCGAAAACAAGATTCTCAATGGCGTTAGAGTCGAAAGTAGACTCTGTATTAGAATAGTAGAGACGGAGAATAAAAAAGAGTATATTTTTAACTGAAAATGATGTTTACCTTCTTTTTGGTGGAAGTTATAGTAAACTACGCTGTTTTCAAACTCTTGAGTTACTCTGTTTTCCTTATAATGAGAATCTGATTACGCTGATAATACTACTGACACGCAAAGAATAATATTACAATCTCAAGTTTGTAATAATACTTTGGAAAAAACTTTTAGCAACCGAATGAGTTCACATTCTTTCTCCTTTATTCTTCACTATAAAAACAAACATTTACCATTTACCATAATTATGCATTGGTCGACAAAGAAAGTATTAGGACGACAATGGCGGAAGCAGCACTCTCATTCGTTGTGGAGAAGCTTGGCAATCTTGCCATCGAGAAGGTGTCTTCCCTGCGAAACGTTGGGTCGCAGGTGACACAGCTGAAGGATGAGCTCCGAGCAATGCAATGTTTCCTCAAAGACGCTGCAGAAAGGCAGACCAAGGACAGCAGTGTGCGTCAATGGATATCCGACATCAGACAGGTGGCTTATGATGCTGAAGATGCCATCGACACTTTCTCACTACAGGCCGAGACCAAAGGGGGTCTGTTCACCAGGTGTGTCTGCCTTCCGGAGCATCTGTACCACCTGGATAGGCTGCGCCAAGAGATCGAGGCAATCCTAAAAAAGCTCAAAGAAATTGATGAAAGACGTGCGAGGTTTGGGATCAGAAGTCTCGACGAGGCTGCAGGGATGGCCTGGTCGGAGGGGGTTGAGAGGAAGCGTCGCGTGTCTCCTTGGCAAGCAGACAAAATTGTGGTAGGGTTTGAAGGCCATGTTGAAACCCTACTCCAAAAGGCAATTCTTGCCGACAAGACGGGACTTTCCATTGCCAGCATTGTTGGGATGGGCGGTGTGGGGAAGTCGACACTCGCAAAGAAAGTGTACAACCATGAGAGAGTGAGGAAGGAATTTGAGAGGCGAGCTAGGGTGATCGTGTCTCGTAGCTTCAATGCGAAGGAAGTGTTGAAGGAGATGGTGAGGCAGTTGAGACCTCGCGAAATCGAAGAAACAAAGATGGAGGATTTGTTGTTTCAGACAAGTATGACGGATCCATCAGAGATGTTCTTGGAGAGAGAGTTGCAAGAAGAGCTGAGGGGGAAACCATACTTGATAGTGTTGGACGATGTGTGGGAACAACAACATTGGCAATACATATGCGATGTTCTTCCCAATCAAGGTATGTATTAGTGATCTACTTTAAGTTATCCATTTAAAATTATGCATTGCATGCGACTTCGAAAGGGAATGTATGGCTCCGATTAGATACAAGTTTTTGAAAGTTTTAAAGTCTTTTGAAGTTTTCAAAAATTTACTTTATAAGATTTTTATGAAAATAAAAATGTATTTAACGTGATGTTTTTCTAAAAATGTTACTATTGATGAATAATAGCAAAACATCAAAGAATATCTATCTTATCAAAGAACATCTATCTTATATGTTCTTTGAGTCTTTCCAAAATCTTGTCCTAATTTTCACTTTCAATGATCAAGTTCTCTTTCTTTCTTGACTGTTTTAATTTTGGCACTTCTTTGTATGTGATATTATTTAGAAAAATTGACATTGCTTATTATTATTGAAGTTACTTCAATTCATAGTTTTACATTTTAATTTATCATTGGTCTTACTACATTCATTTAATGATAATCAGTCTATTCCTTTTTAGGTGAATTGATTTTTTTTTGGTGTGGTATGTGAAACTGTGTTGGTAATATAAAAAAAATAATAAGTGTTGAATGATTGACTTTTTATGAGTGAATAATATATATATTATATTAATGTGTGTATATTTGTATTTTAAATAATATTTATGAAAAAATATTGAGTGAACACACTGAATATTTTTAAATATTGTAATATCTTATTCATTTTAAAAGTAAATATTACAATATTTATTATCGATTCAATTTAATGCTTTTATTAGTCTTTTTCTATATATGATAAAATAATGATTATTAGCGTTATTATTATATATATTTTTTCTCATACGATATAAGATTGAATAAGATGACTACGGATTCAATTTAAATAAATGTTTTATCATCATTTAACTACAAAGTAAACTAGTATAAATATTACATCTATGGGTTCAAGGAAACCTTTTACATGTATAAACATGACATTATCTAAGCATAAATATTATAACTAACTAATTTACAACTGGTCAAAGTCAAAATGACTTGGCTCGTACAGTTGGCTCGCCCTATTCCTTCATGGTTTGAATGATAGTTTGACTAATTGTTAGTTTGGTACGTACTAGATTCATAAATTCAATGGTAACAAGAGCCTTTTGATTAGTTTAATTTATTTTTCTATGTCAATTACAAAAAAAGAAGGAATAAATACAGAGGGATGAAAACTATACAAAGAAGTCCCTAAAATCAAAGTCGGAAACAAAGGATAATTAAGAGGATGATTAGGAGGATAATCAGGAGAAGATATCTTGTTTCCAATATTCCCCCTCGAGTTGGTGCGTGTAAATCCTTCATGCCCAACTTGTCGAGAAAGGACTTGAGTTGTTTTGTTCCTAATGCCTTTGCGAGAAGGTCTGCAACATGCATGTTTATATCAATAGCCTTTGGTTGGATTTCTTTTGAGTCAACTCTTTCGCGAACAAAGTAGCAATCCATTTCTACGTGTTTAGTTCTTTCGTGAAAAATGGGGTTGTTGGCGATATGTCTAGCTGCTTGGTTGTCACAGAACAAGGGGGTCGGTTCGTTTGAATCGATGTCTAACTCTTTTAGAAGCCATCTTAGCCACAAAACTTCACTAACCGTGGACGCCATGGATCGGTATTCAGCTTCAGCGGAAAATCGTGAAACCACAGATTTTTTTTGGTTTTCCAAGAAATTGGCGCCCCACCAAGTAAGGCTAGGTCTCCTGTTTGTGACCTCTTGGTAAAGGGGCATCCAAGCCAGTCAGAGTCGCTGTAAGTGGTGAGGGCATAACCTTTTTTTGGGGGTAGAAGTATACATTGTCCTGGTGTTCTTTTTAGGTATCGTAAAACCCTATGTACAACATCTAGATGGTCTTGTCTTGGATCAACAACAAACTGACTTAAGACGTTAACAGGGTAAGCGATGTCAGGTCTAGTGGCTTGTAGGTAAAGGAGTCTTCCCACGATGCGTCGATATTGGCTAGCATCAACTTTAAACACTTTACTGTCTTGGTTTAGCTTTAGATTTTGCTCCATTAGGAAGGAACTTGGTTTGCACCCTTGTAAGCCACAGTCCTTCAAGATGTTCAATGTATACTTTCTTTGACTTAGGACTAGTCCTTCGGATGTGCGTGCCACTTCAATGCCGAGAAAATATTTCAAATTTCTTAAATCTTTAATACTGATTTGCCTACTGATGCTTTGTTTAGTATTGTAAATCTTGGAGGAATCATTGCCAACTATGATCACGTCATCAACATAAATAAGTGCCGCCACAAATATGCCGTGTTGTTTGAAAATAAAAAAAAGAGTGATATGCCTTAGACTGCTTGAAA